TTTTTTGTTATTCTAGAGAATCTATCAAAGCAGTTACAAGAAATTAATCTGACAAGTAATGTCGCAGTATTCTGAATTTAAAATGCGTCTCAGAGATTTTTAGAACTTAGATCAGATAAGGAATTTAATAGAATTTTAAAGGCAACAAAAATAATACCTGGAATCAAGCGAGAAAATGAGTCTGAAACCGAAGTTATGCAGAGACAAAGAGTAATAGGTAAAACATTACGATTCAATAATTACTGAGAAGCTTACATTGAGCGGTGCAATGACTCGTCCTTTCAAATCAGAGCAAAAATAAAGGAAATCTTATTTTGAAGCAATTATAATATTCAGAACAGTTTGAACGAGAGATTTAAACAGGATAGTTTAACAACTGTAAAAAGTTAAATTTCATTAGTGAATAAACAAGATTCCCAAACCGTTTTTATTTGTAATGGCATTCTTTAATGATATTGACATCTTGGAACTAAAAGTTGAGTTGGAGAGTTACCAGCAATTATCTGTACAATAGACACCAGTGATTTTCAACTTTTTTAAAAAAATCAATTGCTACAAGTGGGAGTGCCTTCAAGGCCGGCGCGATAGTGACGCCTACTCGCGCCGGCCCTGAGTGCCTTTATTAGACTACAAAAATTATAATGTGGAAAATTTAAAAGCAGCAAGTTTTCTAGATTCTATCTTATTTTAATTCATTTTTTTTTACATATAATTCTTTATGAATCATAAACGAGAATAAGTTATAATTAACGAATGCTTAAAAAGAATGTCGATGTAAAACATTTTCCCTTGTTTTTTCATATATAATGAAACGTAAATAATTTATTTTTTAATTTTTTTGATTTTTTATACATGTTTGGGTCCTGCAAAAAAGGGTAGTTTTACATAAAAGCCAAATAATTAGATGAATTTATGAAAAATAAAAAGTTTTAAAAAAACATGGTTGCAATATATTTGGGGTTCAAAAAAAAAAACATTTAAATTTTTAGCTTGAAAACTTTAACTTAATGCATGAAAAAATAAATAAATTTCTTGAAAGTTTTAGTTTTGTTTACGTTTACATATTTTTAATGACGCATTTCTTTGTAATTCTACAAAAAATGGCATCTTTAAAGCTGTTTATTTATGTTGGTTTTTCTAACTTGTTTTTCAAATAAGATAGCTAGATGTTAACTTGAAATCCTTTTATTTTTGAGGTAGCTCTTATTTTCTTATAAACTATCTACTCCAGCTTGAAGCAACCTTATAATAAAATTTGTTAGTACCTACTTTACAATGCTATTACATCAATCAAAATACTGGGAGTTTCCAGAGTGGCGACAATTGCAGGAATTTTCAATGCCAAGCCAGCAGCTAAAGTCGCTAATAAACAAGCACACAAAATAATGAAGCTTTACAACACCATGCCTCTATGGACATCATCAAGTGAAAGAAGCTTTAGTTTATAAGGATAGTAAAAACATGGGTTTGGTCACAAAGTGGAAGCAATCACCTCAATAATATCATGTTTGCTCAGATACACAAAAAACAAATCAATAAAATTAACATTCAAAAAATTGCCTAACAGTTCGTTTAAATGAATGACAGTAGAATGAATTATTTCGGCAAATTCACTTAAAATTGTTCTAGCACCTTGTAAAGCCAAAAACGGCATAGGATGAAATGTACTATTGATATCTAGAAAGTAGCTAAGAAACAAATGATGTATTTAGTAGACTGTTTAATAGTATGTTATAACCTTTAGTGTTAATTGCACTGTACACACGATTCATAATAGTAAAAGTAGTAGATAAAGTGACATTTTTTGTGTATTTTTTAGAGAACAGGTAAATTAAAAATTTTTTTAATATTATATATAATATACAGTAAAATATTGAGTTGATATTTTGGCAAGTGTCCTTGTGTTTTGGTTTGCTACCCCTACCCATAGGCCCTTCCAGTGTGCTTGCCTTCTTGTAATTAAATGCAAGAATCAATTATAAAAATCCTGTTTTTAGATAGAGATTCGATTTTATATTTAATCCTACAAAAGCATCTCTCAAAAGTAAGATCATTTTTGATTTTAAACATAAGTTTGACAATTGAAGAGCTTTCTTCACAATCTGTTGACTGAACGATCAGCAACTGTTTACCAGCTAAATACCAATTCACATTAACTGTAGGAAAATTGATTTCTTTATTTTGTAACTTCTAATGTAATGAGCTAAAGGATGTAACTTTATCTGCAGCTAAAAATATATCAACTTCGTCGGGCATAATGTTACGGACAGATGAAGAGATTTTAAAAGTTGTTCTTAATGGAGGTGGAAAAGTAGATATTAAACTAGGTTTCATACATGTAAAGACTGAAGGAGGATCACAAGGCCTTTTATGGCCAAATTGGGTAACTGTTGGATATCCAGATGGAAAGTGTCTTTCGCAAACAACTGTATCTGGAATGTCAGGTATATTGTTTTGTGGTATAGCATTTACTCAACCAGTATATTCTTCTTTTTCATGAGGAAGCCGGAAAAGTTTTTCTTTATTTTTCTTATTGTACAGTTCGTCACAAAACATTTTTTAAACATTTTTTGTATCTATAAACTAGATAATTGTTGTACTTTAATTAAAATTTGGTAAAGACGACTCTTGCAATATTTGAACAAAATAATTTTAAACAGCCTGTTAGTAAAGACGGCTATGGCTGCGGATGATAAAGTCTTCATATTTTGAGGCGCAAAATTTTGAACGTCCAAAACTCGCAAACAAATTCAAATATTTCTGCAGTTCAAATTTAAATATATTCACTGGACATTCTTTTTTCTTAATCTGATACTGATTTTGGCAATAAAAGTTATGTAAATAAATGAATAGAATTAAAGAAAACGACAAACGAAAGCTTATTGATAACTTCTATTTAAACGGCAGAAAACCATCCAAAACGGACATAAGAAAAATTACTTCACTCATTAACAAGGCTGAAAACAAAGTTGGAATCTCCGAGAGAAAATTTGCATTAAAATATGGAGTTTATATACATATATATATATATATATATATATATATATATATATATATATATATATATATATATATATATATATATATATATATATATATATATATATATATATATATATGTATATATATATATATATATATATATATATATATATATATATATATATATATATATATATATATATATATATATATATATATATATATATATATATATATATATATATATATATATATGAAAACTTTTTATTGTCGACAACTTTTTTTTTTATGTTAAAATAAATTTTAGATAATATGTTATCTATAGGTATTTTGATGTTTGGATCTGAGTTTTCCACTTAATAATGCATTGAAAAAAAATTCAAATAAAAATTAGTTCAATTTAGTTTTTTTGAATATTTTTGTTTCAAATAACATTTTAAATATTTAAACATTAATTGTTTTATTGTTTAAAATCTTCAAAAATTTTAAAAAAATATTTTACTATTAATTTATAAGTTAATGGTCCATGTTTGCAAAACACCGAAAAAAACTATATTAATAAATTAAAATAATATAGATTCATAATTTTATTTCTGAACGAATTTTTGAAAAAATTTGTAATGGCAGATAAATTTTACGCGCAAAAAAAAAAAAAAAAAAAAAAGTTAAACACCCTAATATCAATGCTATCTTTTATTATTATTCCTTCAATATATTATTTAATTAACTACACTTATTTTTATTTATTTTTATTGTTATTATTATTCTTTACATTGTTACTACTACTATTTTTATTGTTGTTACTATTATTATTTATATATCTTTGTTTTTGTTGCCTTCATATTATTACCTATAATAATAGTCAAAGTAGTTCAATAGTTGTAGTAGCTTTATATGTGTGTGTATGTGTGTTTGTGTGTGTGAAATTATACTGTGAAAATCTTAACTAAATACTAGATAAATAAATTAGTGTATATTAGTCACATTAGAGCTCTGCAAATTGGTTTAATAGATATGATTCAAGTTTTTTGAATCAATTTTTACTTTCAAGTGTTTGCAAGTTCTTTAGATATGAAACATGAAGATGCTATTGAAGAGTTTTTATTTATCTTTCATCAAGTGACCAGAGTAAGATTTCCTTAAAATGCTAATTCGTTATGAAACAAAAAATTCCAATTTGAGTGGCCAGAAATTTTTGTTTCCAATAGACATTACTAATAAATAAAAAAATTCCTTAAAGTGTTTTTTTGTTGGCGTGTGGGTAGGCTGAGCCACGACTCTGTAAGAAATATGCAAAAACTATTTTTGAACATAACATACACTTATAGATAATAAAAAAAATCGAATAAGAAAACTTCAATGTTGTGTTTAAAGGTGCATTATATATAATCGGAGACAACATTATAAACCGAGGTTCCACGAATTACAGAAAAGCAAATTAATTAACAACATTTAATACAATCATTTTTAAATTTGCTTAATAGTCAATGTTTATTTACCATTCATAGTAAACATAATTCTAGATTTTCAGTTCATATATTTGATGAAACCTTAAACATTTTTGAGTTAAGTGTAGAAATACTAAAAATTTATTCAATTAGATAAAAGCAGAGTTAGCTACATCGATAAAGATTTATTTAAATTTTATTATGAATTTAGTTTTGTTCTTCTTTTATAATTTAGCTTTGTTCTTCTCAGGGCCGACGACACGGGTTTCGAAATGGAGGGGGGGGGGGGCACAATCATCACATTGTAAAAAAAGTCCTCTATATCTTAAAAAAATTTCTTTAAAAATCTTTTCTTAAAAAAAAAATAGGTCCTCTAGAAAAAAGTGAAGGGACACGTGTCCCCTGGCCCCCCTTCGCCCCGCCCCTACCCCGGTGTTGTCGACCCTGCTTCTACAGTAGAAAAGATTTTTATTTTGTTTCGTTTTTCAATTTTAAAAGATCAAATATTTGATGCTTTTATTAGCAAAAATTTATATTTGATACTTTTACATTTAATAAATTATATAAAAAAAAGTAAATTGTTTGCAGTATTAGTTTAAAACTTTCGATTGTCAAGGCGCTTAAGTATATCAAGCGTTCCGTTCAGGATGGCTGAGCAGAAATACAACTTGCTTATATCACAATGTGAAAAACATACTAAAATAAGACAACAACCATGGTATATAAATATGTTTTTAAACATTTTAAAATCCCTCTAATAAAAATAATAAGTGAAAATAAAAAATGAATTAAGTTGCTTCACTTAAATAATTTGATAAATCTTCTTATTTTTTTATTATAACGTTTTGAATAAATAAATTAAATAAAAAACGGCGGGATCTTTTTTATTTTATATCTTTTTATTATTTTTATTTTTGTTTTACAGTTTTAAATAAATAATATTTTTAGATGATAATAATTAATCTAATAAAAGAAGTATTTAGGCGAAACCAGATAATTGTTTAATAATATCAGAATAGTTTAGATAATCTAATTATACTATAACTTATAGTATAATTAGATTATCTCAATTTTTACTTATAGTATAAATTCATGAGTATTTTTTAAGTTGTTCTTGTATAAGCGATGTTCCAAACATTTTTTTAAATTCAAGTATTCTTTTTTCTTTTTTTATGAAAAAAATCCTGATTTTATTATGATTGAAGCATAATGATTAGTACTATGATTTCTGCTTAATTAAAAGTGCCAATAACAAAAAAATGTTTAAGTTTTTATGATTGCTATCATCAAACTATTAAATTTTCTTAGGTTCTTGTAGATAAATTTTAAGCTATCATTTTAAGTAACAAAAATATATGTAAAGTGCATATAAAGCATCACGATGTGGCAAGATAATATAGACAAAATATTTGTTAAAAAAAAAAAAACTATTCATTATTAAAAATTCAAACTATTTTTATTGTCAAATTTTAAAAATAAAGCTTAAAATTTCTTGTTTTAGTAAAGAATTAAAACAAAATACAATAAACGTAAGCACTCACATAGATGCTGAATATATTTTGTATGTAGGCACTCTACCTATCTGTTTCATTCATTAGTTGTATCCCTGTATACAAATCTTTACCTATTCCTTTTTCAGGATAGTGTTAATAAATTTTTATTTTGGTCTACACCGTGGTATAAATTTATTACTGCTGAATTTAACATAAGGGTAGAAATGGTTTCATATTTCATATATGAATATATATATATATATATATATATATATATATATATATATATATATATATATATATATAAATATATATATATATATAATTTATATATATATATAATAAATAATATATATATATATATATAATATGTATATATATATATATATACATATATATATATACATATATATATATATATATATATATATATATATATATATATACATATATATATATATATATATATATATATATATATATACATATACATATACATATATATATATACACACACACACACACACACACATATATATATATATATATATATATATATATATAAATATATATATATATATATATATGTATATATATATATATATATATATATATATATATATATATATATATATATATATATATATTCTTTTTCTTTAACAGAGCAGAAAAGAAAAGTTCTAAATATTTACGGAATAAAAGTTAAATATTCTATGAAAAAAAAATATGACAGGTTTTTGTTTGAACTGCCAGTTTTGCTTTGCTGCTTCTAGAATATTTTGCTATGAATTTTGTTGTTGCTGCATTCATAAGAAAAAAGATTTAAAAAGGAATTTAAATGTTCTTGTCTTAGGATTAGAAAGTTGTGGTAAAAGTTATCTTTTGGCAAGTTTATGCGGAGAATCTACAAAAGATTTAACACCAACTAATGGTTTTTCTATAAAAGATGTATCTTTTAAAAATTACACAATGCACATGAAAGAATTGGGTGGTTCAGAAAAAGTTCAAAAATATTGGAGTCATTATGTGGACAACACAGATGGAATAATTTGGGTAGTTGATGGCAGTTCAAGTGACCTGAATGGTTCAAAATCAGTTTTACATTCGGTATTGAAATACAAAGAGTTGCATAGCAAGCCTTTATTAGTTTTAATTTCAAAAGCAGAAAATCTTTCAAAGGAATATGTTGCTGAAGAATTAGAGTTAAAAGATTTTTGTGCAAATGATTCTTTTATAATAGAACCATGTACTTCTGTTGAATATGTAAAAGATGTATTGCAAAGGTTTGCCAAAATGATAACATTTCCAGAAATTTCAGATGAAATTAACAGATGAAATTAATTAAATATTAAAACATTTTCTAGTGGCAATATTTATTTTGGTTAGCATTTCGATTTCATTTATATTTAACCAAAGTTAAGAAAGTTTTTTGTTTTTCATGTTAGAGAGTATATAATTTATGATATATATAAAGAAAAATATTTTATTTTATGTATTATGTATGTATAAATGGTTATAAAAATAAATTTAAAATTTACTAGTGTAAATTAGTAATATATATATATATATATATATATATATATATATATATATATATATATATATATATATATATATATATATATATATATATATATATATATATATATATATATATATATATATATATATATATATATATACATACATACATACATACATATATACATATATTACATATATATATATATCCCTGTGTTGATATATATGTATATATATATATATATATATATATATATATATATATATATATATATATATATATATATATATATATATATATATAGATGTAGATATAGATATATGATACAAAATTAATTATTTGGATTAACTTAGATTAACTATAAACTTGTGTTTTGTTCTGAAATGATAAAGCATGCATGATTTTGAAAAGTGTTTTTATTTTTTTCCGAAATGTGTGAAAAAAAAAAAGCAATTCATCTAGGATAGCATAGTTGGATTGCTTTAGCAGTACTTTTTTTCAAAAACATGTTCTAAATACAATTAATGCTCAAAACATATTTTTGAGCTATAATTATGCTTAAAACATGTTTTTCAAAAAACACCTTTTTCTATTTTTTCGAGCAAAATGGACACCCTGAAACAATTTAGAAAGAAAATAAGAATCTTTAACAAGTATGTTCTTTTATATTCTAGTATGACTATGTGTTTCAAGAAGAAATGTTGTCTGATTTAGTTATTCTTTAAATGTTCATAGTCCAAGTTTTAGTGTTCTGTCTGTATATGATCGGGATACTTCTGGCATAATTTTACTGAAAATATGTTGTGTTTTTCAGAAGATGAGCAAACAGCTGTCTAATTTAATGGTTGTACAAACTAATGATTAGTTTTATCATAACATCACAACAACACAACATCACTACAAACAACAAGTGTTTGTAGGCATTCATAGTTTATTATATGAACTTTGTTAGTATTGACATAACTCTCATGCACTGGTCGAGCTGTTTCAAATCATGTAATATTACAACCCCAAGATCCTTTTCACCTTTATTTGGTTCTATTTGATTTATTTACTTTTTATTCATAACCAAAGTTTTTGTTTTCAATGTGCATTAATTTGTATTTTATAACATTTTTTTGCATTTACTATTCAACTGAGCACTTGCAAATTTTTTTTAATTTCAAAACCTCGCTTGTCAAGTTTGCAATATAGATTAAAACAATTTGAATTCTCTGCTGATCTTTGAGGATGCAAAATAGCACAAACGTAAATCATTAATAAATCAATCAATATAATTGGCAGTAAACAGTGTTTGTTTTGTTAATAATTTAATCAACTTTTTTAGGAAATTTTTTAAAATGATTTACTCCCAACAAGACTGCAAGCAACCACTATTAAGTTTGGAGTTACTAGAAAAAAATAGTAGAGTTATATAGCAAAGAAATGGTTAACAGAAGACTTAAAAAGTTGAAGGTTGTGTGAATCAGGAAAATATAAAGATGGGAATGAGTTCTAAAGGGTTGAAGGGCATGGAAAAAAGCTAGACAAATAAAAAGTTTTGGAGTATGCAGGGACAGATACAGTAAAAGAATGAGACAAAAAAAGAGATGAATGACGACTCAAGCGGGATGAGTTTTGGTTGATGGAACTAGAGATGTAAGCTGCTTTGAGCAGAGGACATGATAGTGTTTGTAGAAAAGAGGAAGAGACAACTTTACAACTTTAAGTCTCTTTCCCAAATAATAGGAAAGAGGCTCAAGTTTAGCAATTCTCTTCTAGACAAGGCCTAAAATGGGTTTTTGGATCTTGTCTAGAAGAGAAAGAGGATCATTAGAAAAACCAGCCCAAGCATGACAACAGTGTTTTGTAATGGTATCAGGAGGAAAAAAAATGGCAAGCAACCATAGCAGATGCTAATTTAGCAATCAATTGTATATATGGTTTTCATGAAAGATCAACAGTAAATAATAATCCAAGAAGAGGTAAAGAAGAGGACTCAGTGAGAGGGTTGCCACTCATCAATATAGGAATGTTGGCAGTACTGCTATAGTTGTTTGCAGTAAATAACTGAGTTTTGTTGGAGTTAATTTACGAGCCATTGTGAGCCCTAATCAGGTGAGATCAAAACGTGAGATCAGATTCAAAATTGGCTAGCTGTTCTAAGCAATAGTAAAAAGAAGACTTTTTGTTAATGTAGAACTATAAAGTTGAGTCATCTGCAAAAAGAGCTACTTTAGACTTAAGGTTGTTGGGAAGATCATTAATGTAGATAAAAAGCAAAACAGAACCAAGAATAGAATTTTGAGGTACCTCAGATGTTACTGGAAAAAAAGAAGAGCGTTGGCCTTCAAGGATGACTTTAATGAAGCGTATAGAAATAGTTTAATTGAGATATAATTTTAGCAACGGAAGCTAGAGCGATTTGAATGTCTAACAACGGGTTAACCTGTTTAATTGGAATGAAGGGAAGAGAATGGCCATAAGATTTGAGACTCAAATTAGAAGGGAAGTTCTTTGCAAATAGTTCAGCATTATCCTTGGGAAAGGTAATTAGATCAGTCCCATGAATAGATGGGTCAAGAGGGTCAAAACCATTGAGTAGAATGAGGCTTGACTTGGAACCAATGAGAAGCAATAAAAGCATCCATTCCTGCCAGAGTCCAGGAAGTTACGTAGGAGGTGCATTTTTCAGCTGAGAGGAAAAAGACATTAGCCCAAGGACCATCACAAAGAAAATCACTAAAAGAGTCCCAATTAGCTTAAGGGTAGTAAGTAGTACGATAGTAGGGTGAGTCCGAAAATGAATACTAGATGAAAGATTTAAAGAGATCATTTCATGGTCAGAACTACCTAAGGGAGAGAAATGAGAAACTGAACACAAGCTAGTATCAAAGACCAGATATAAATCAAGGAATGAAAGTAAATGTAAGTTTTAACAATTCATACCCAGTCCTGTTTAACCGATGTTTTAATCTTTTACCCTTAGCATTAAAACAAAATTAAACATTTTGCAAGCTGTAAGATTAGAAATGCAAAGATCTTACCTATTTATATCTCAACTAGTAATACTGCAAATGCTTTTTGGAAGATAGTTGGATAAAATAATCTATAAAGTTTTCAAATGACTTTTTAAATGAAATTGAGTAAGGTTAAAATAAAGATAAGTTTAGATAAAACAAGACTAAAACATCTTAAGTAGCTTTTAGTATATAGAATTAAATTCTGAAAAAAGAAACTTTTGAAAAAATTTGAAATGCATCATGTTATGAGTACCTAAGTCAAAAAAGAACCTTTTATTATGGATTTCATACCTATTTGAATTTTTTTTTATAGAAAATACAAATGTTAAGCAAAAAGTATAAAGCTGTTTTGCAATCACATAGTCTGTAGACAAAGAAAATTACAAAAGAATCTTATTAATAAGATGAGTTTCAGGAGTATCAGGCAGAAGTAGAAATAACAAATGATAAAATTTTTTATTAAAGTTCAGAAGTCAAGGTCTAAAACAACCTTTAGGAAAATGAGTTATTTTTATGAAAAAAATTTAAAAATAATATTTGAAATTGTATATGCTATAAACATAATTTATTAAGAAACTAAAAAAAATTTTACAATCAAAAATTTTTTTATGATAAAGAGTTATTGCATATTTTTATTTTAATTTAATATCGAATTTGTTTTGCACTGTACATCTTTAAATCAGAAATTTGATAAATTTATTAAATATCTAATTTAATAATGTAGTTCAAAATACATTCAAAACTAACATTTATGTTAGTTTTGAATATATTATCATATAAGCGTTTATGAAATAAAGTATAGCATATTATTTTAAAATAATGCTTGCCAAAAATAACATAGATTTTTAAAATTAATTACATTTACTATTTAAAGGTATTGTGAGCGCCTTAATGCTAAATATAAGAAAAAACATTTGTCAACAAAATCATGGACGTTTGTTAAAGAAGATTTAGTTAATGATGGCCCAACAGTAGATAGTGACTACAATGAAACTAAGGTAATTGAAAATAAATGTTACAAATAATTCTATTTTTTTGTCGATTGAGTTGTTAAGTTTGAAAAAAGTTGAGAATAAAGTTATTAAGAACTTAAGTTTTATATAATTGCTTGCAAAATTATGCATGACAGATGTTGACCGTTTTGTATTAATTTTGCAGCCAAGTGAGATTCAAAATATAAGAAAGTCGAAAAAAAAAAAAGTTTCCAAAACGCCTAAATATTTCAATAAAGATGATGCAGTGTATTTAAAGTAAGTGTTTTTTTGGTATTGTTTACTTATTTTTAGTTATAGAAAAGTAAAAAAAAGTTAATAACAATATTTTATATTATATATATTTTACATTCTTCGAATTCTGTTTTCCAAAGAAAAACTTCAAAAGACTCTCAAAAAAAGTTTGTTTTTTATGGTAATGTTGTCAAGTTTGATTGGATTTACAAGAAATTTTTCTGCCAACAATTTATAGTAATGCTGAAGAAATACATTAGGAAATTTGGTTTGACTTTTAACTAGGCAACAACTGTAGACAATATAAAAAATTATACACTGATTCCAAACCTTGAATCACAGTTCACCACAATCAGAATCTGATTCGTCTTTCTGGTTCTTCTCATTTTTGTACATAATCTTATCTTTTTACATTACACTTTTAATAAAACTTTACCCTTGAAGTTTTGATCATGATGGAATTTGTTTGCCATGTATATTAGGGTACATCATACTTTTGTATGTAATAGGGTACGTTTTCGTAATAGGGTACATCATACTTTAAAATTTTTGATTTTTATTTTGTCGGATAATTTTTATGGTGCCACTATATGTAAATATTAACTTCCACACAAAAAAATTAAAAAAATTTTTTTTTTACCTAAGCGGGATAGCTTAGGTAAAAAATTTTTACCTAGGCAGTTTTACCTTTTTGAAAACTGCAATCCCGCCTAGGTAAAAAAAATTTTTTTAAATTTTTTTTCTGGAAGTTAATATTTACATATAGTGGCACCATAAAAATTATCCGCCAAACTAAAAATCAAAAAATTTTAAAAGTATGATGTACCCTATTACGACAATTTACCTTAGTACATACAAAAGTATGATGTACCCTAATGTATATGTATGTATATATGTATGTATGTATGTATATACAGATATAATAAATATTATAAATATATATGTATATGTAATATGTTAATCTTTTGTAATGTTAATCTTTTATAATCTTTTATGTTTTTTTTTTTTTAATTTTTTCATAAGGTCTCTTGCACGCACTTACAAAAATAGAGAAAGGTTAAAAGGCTTGGAAAAAGAATTACTTTCTCATCCACTTGTTTTTTCTTCTGAAATAAAAGAGTCTCTTTCACCAGAGGTAAACAGGATGGATTTTATTTGATTTTAATTAGATAAAATGTATTAAAAAAAATTAACAAATTAAATAAAGGAAATAATTTCTGATTGTTTACTGATTAAATAATTTCTAATTGTAATAGGTTAAACTCATAGAAAAATTAAAAAATTCGCTTCTGCCAATCAAAAAAGATTATTTTAATTGCAGTTACTAATCTTTAGTATAATTGCTATTTAAGTTTTTTTTTTTTTAATTATCTTTGCTTCCAACAAGGCTGCGAGCAACCACTAATTAGTGTTGGAAGTTACTGGAAGAGAAAAGATGAAGATTGTAGAGCAAGATAACGATTGACAGACGACTTAAAAGATTGCAAATTATATGAATCAGGAAAGCAAGGTGAAGGAAGCGAATTCCAAAGAAATGATGTTCGAGGATTCAACATTACGACGATGTGACAGAGGTTGGAGGTTGGCTGCAAGTGCAGGTCCAACTATGTTTACAATGCGTTTTTGCACCTTGTCTAAAAGAGAAAGGGCATCATTAGAAGATCCGCCTCAGATATGGCAACAGTATTCCATACAAGGCCGGATTTGAGATTTATAGAGATAGAGAATAGTTTCCAAGAAAGATCGGAAGTGAGAGTTAATCCTAGAAGATGAAGGGTAGGAGACTCATCGAGTACATTACCGTTCATAAATATAGGAAGGTCTAAACTATTGCGATAATGATTGGCTGAAAAAAATTGAGTTTTATCTGAATTAAAGTTCACCAACCACTGTGAGCCCCATGCTGTAGCAGTAGTGAGATCCTTTTCAAGCTCAGATGCCCCCTGCAAGCAATCAGAGGGAGTTGGCTTCTTATCGTGACAAGAATAAATGGTAGTATCATCAGCGAACAATGCCACCTTAGATGTGAGAATATCTGGAAGATCGTTAATGTAAATTAAAAAGAGTATAGGGCCAAGGATTGAACCTCGGGGAACCCCTGAGGTTACAGAATAAGAAGAAGAGTGCTGTCCATCAAGGACAACTTTTATACTACGTTTGGAAAGGAAAGATTCAATAATCTTAAACATTTTTCCAGATACATCGTAAGAAGAAAGCTTATGGAGAAGACCAGCATGCCAAACTTTATCAAACGCTTTAGAAATGTCAAGAGCATCGGCTTGAACCTCTCTACCTTTATCTAATGCGCGATAAAACCTATCGGTTATTATTGATAGCAAATCAGCTGTAGAACGAGAAGATTGAAATCCATATTGATGATCAGAAAGTAGGTTATGAGATTCAAGATGAGAGATTAAGTGTTTGTTAATTAAAGATTCAAAAACCTTGCTTATGATAGGAAGAAGACTAATGGGACGGTAGTTAGATGAATCAGATCGCTCTCCAGAATTTTTAAAAACAGGGATAACAGATGCTGCTTTCCAGCAGGCTGGAAAACAAGACTTTGATAAGCACTTGTTAAATAGTTTTGAAAGGATAGACGACAGTTCCGGAGAACACTTCTGCAAGACTATAACAGGTGTGTTGTCTGGGCCGCAAGCTGTAGAAGAGTCTAAGCGGGAAATCACTTTAGATACAGAAGCTGGCGTGATACGAATGTTGAGCAATGGATCAACCTGTTTGACGACTATATCAGGTAGAACGCAACTAGTGGCATAAAGAGATGACATTGATGAAAAGTTCTTGGCAAACAATTCAGCTTTGTCTTTAGGTGAGGTGACAAAGTCTGAACCATACAAAAGAGGTGGAATTACAGACTTGCCCTTATTATTGATACTATTAAAGATTCTCCAGAAGTCACGAGAGCCTAATTTTTGTGATGAAATACGATTTCATAATCTGAGAATAGCGGGCTTTGGCATTAGACAAAACCTTTTTACAATGGTTCCTAGCAGTAATAAATAGACGTCTGTTTTCTGGAGAATAGTTTTGCTGATAGATATGGAAGTAATGGTTTCGATTGGCAATTGCAGCAGCACAATGTGAGGAAAACCATGGAGAAGAGTGAGGCTTGACCTTGAAGTTGCAAACAATAGTCTTTGCAATAGTCTTTTTTTAAATTAAAACTTACATTCATATTGAAGGAAATTTTTACAGAATTTATTACTTACAAATTTTATTGCATTTAAAAAAAAAGTTTAATGGTATTGCAAGTATTATTACTATAGACGTATTGTGTTTATAGTTACATGTAAGTTTTTATACTTGTATGCAAGTGTCTATAGTAAATTTCTGTTATGAAAAGTGTTGGATCCAGCATTTTTTGGTGTTAGAAATAATTGCGGAATTGTAGCCCCTCAAATGAAGGAGGTCATAATATTTTATATGGTCATAATTTTTGAACGTTGAGAGTACTATGTGAAACATAGTATAAAGAACAACAATATTTTAATTCTTATAAGTTTTTCTACTCTAAAATAAACAAAGTAAATAATCAAAACACAACATTCTCTGCAGCCATAATATAAACAGAATATACTATAATATAAACAAGGTTCTTCATGTATTTTCTTTTATAAGTCCTAATGGTCGACGAATTACTCTTGAGGATCTACGTGTGTCTTTTCCAGGTGTTATTAATAACAACGGATTGATCGGACAAGCATCATTGACAAGATTTTCAGTTAGTGGAGGTTGATAAAGGGGAGGCTGATTAGGAAAGTTTTCAGGATTGGTATTGGTAAGTCCATATTTATCAGGTGTTAATGGTTTATAGGGGTAAGAAGATTTATTAAAAGCATTCTCAGGTGAAGGTTCAACATTATTAAAATCATTCTCTGGTGAAGGTTCAATATGATTTGTTTGATCAATGATCGGAGCTAAGTGTCTTAGGGAAACTGTGGTTTCTCTTCCATCTGGATACTTTATGTGAGCATATTGAGGATTAGCATCTATGAGTTGCACTTCGTCTACCAGTGGTTCATACTTATTATTACGTAAATGCCTTTTCATTAGTATTGGTCCAGGATGACTTAACCATGAAGGTAAAGTGCATCCAGAGGCTGTTTTACGAAGGTGCTTAAACATTCTTTCATGAGGTGTCTCCATTGTTTTAGTATTTACTAAGGATCTTATAGAATAGAGAGCGTCTGGCAATACTTTTTCCCAAGCTTTGATGGGTAAATTGTGTTGTCTACTAGCAATCTCAATAGACTTCATTATGGTTCCATTATACTTTTCGGCTTGTCCATTCCCTTGTGGATTATATGCTGTAGTATGACTTGTCGCAATACCTTTCTCTAGTAAGTATTGTTTTAATTCTTTTCTGATGAAGGCTGAACCTCTATCGGAATGGATGTAACTTGGCAAACCAAAACCGAGAATACTTGTGGCAAACACTTAATTACAGTCTGAGCAGAAATATCAGGGCACGGGATTGCAAAAGGAAAACGATAATACTCATCAATTTTGGTTAAAAAATACTTGTTATTAATTTCCGAAGGAAGAGGTCCTTTAAAATCTAAGTTCAAACGTTCCAGTGGTTGTGTCGCCTTTATCAAATTAGATTTTAGTGGTTTGTAGTATCTAGACTTTCACAACATAGTTTGCACTGATTAGTTATTTGTTTAACATCATCAATTGAGAAAGGTAAATTACGGTTTTTAATAAAAGCATAAAATCTAGTTACTCCAGGATGACAGAGTGATTGATGAAGCTGAATTAAGTTGTTAGTGCTTATTGCTGAGCAATGTATTCTAGAAAATGTGTCAGCTGGAATATTTAGTTTCCCTTCCCTGTAAACAATGTCATAATTATAGCACGATGGTTCAATTTTCCATCGATAAATTTTATCATTTTTAATCTTTGATTTATCTTGCTTTTCGAAGATATAGGACACAGGTTGCTGATCGGTAATAAGTTTAAAATGGCGTCCAGTAAGGTAGTGTTTCCAATGCCTGACTGCTTCTATTAATGCGCAAGCTTCTTTTTTAATAGGGGGATGTTTGAGTTCAGATTTTTAAAATAACCTTGAAAAGAAAGCTACAGGGCGGCCATTTTGATTAAGAACTGCAGCTATAGCAATGTCAGATGCGTCCGTTTCTACTTCAAATGGAACATTTTCGTCCACATAATCTGTCACAGTATTTGCAATGTCTTGTTTAAGTTGATTAAAATCATTTACACACTAATGATCTAATGGGTACTTGGTGTTTTTGGTAAGAGAAGCCATCTTGTCTGAAAAGTTTGGAATCCATTTAGAGTAGTATGAGAATAGTCCGATGATACGCTTCATGGATTTAGCATCATGAGGAGGAGGCATTTCTTTCATAGGTTGAAGACGACTGGGATCTGGTTTGAGCTTTCCTTCTTTTATAAGATAACCAAGAATGCAAATTTTATCTTGGGAAAAGTTACATTTATCATGATTATAAGTAAGATTTATATTTTCAGCTGACTTGAGAAATTTTTCCAGATTAATATCATGCTCCTCTTGGATTTTACCACATATTGTCACATTATCTAGATAAGTATAAGTATCTAAAAGTCCTTCTTTTTCTATAAAACTGTTTATGGTACGTTGAAAACAAGCAACACCATTTTCAATTCCAAAAGGCATTCGCTTAAATTGGAACAACCTCCCATTTGCTTCAAAAGCTGTAAATTTTCTATCATTTTTGGTAATTGGAATTTGATGGTAGGCTGATTTCAAAACGACTGTACTAAATATTTTGTATTGAGCAATTTTGTTTACTAGGTCATCAATCCTTGGTAATGGGTAAGCGTCTAGTTGAATATACTTATTTATTGTTTGACTGTAGTCAATAACTAATCTTTTCTTAGAGCGTTCTCCTTTAGTTACAACTACCTGAGCTCTCCAGGGAGAATTTGCATGTTCGATAATGTCTTCTTTAAGCATACGTTGTACTTCCATTTCAATGAATAATTGGTCTTCTTTGCTGTATTGACGAGATTTTGAAGCTATTGGTTTACAGTTAGGCGATAAATTGCCAAATAAACTAGGAGGAGATACATTCAACTTCGACAAACCACAAATTAATAGTGGGGGTCTTTTTCCTTCAAACTTAAGGGTTACAGCTTTGTTTTGTTTTTGAAAATCGAGACCCAGAATAATATCCATGCATAACTCATTTAAGATGTTAAGTTTTACTAGTTTATAATGCTCATTTTTTATTGAAAAATTGACTAAAACTACTCCACAAATTGTACTAGATAAAGATGATGAAGCCATAGATGTTTTTGGTTTTGTCTATGAACTGTTAGGTTTAGTTTTTGTACCAATCGAGGGTGAATAAAACTATCAGTGCTACCACTGTCAATGATAGCATTTACAAATGAACCATTAACCAACATGCCAATTGTTGATTTAGTCAAAGGCGAAATGGAAGCAGAAATGTTCTTTAAATTAGTTTTATGTTTATGGTAGTCTAGTCAAGTGAGTGAAGGATTGTATGAGTTCAAAGGTTGATCAACAAGATTCATCCCTGCTGTTGTAAGTTTAGAAGATTTACATAACTTGGAAAAATGACCAACTTTCTCACATTTAAAACAAATCGACACTCTAGCAAGACAGTCAGCTTTAGCATGTCTTTGATTCCCACAGTTCCAGCAATTTGAAACAGAATTTGAGTTAAATTGCTTTGGCTTTTTTGTTATTGCAGCTACTGTTGTATCTGATGTATTATACTGGAGGTAATTTTCAGCATTTTTCTGCGCTGATTCCAAGGTTCTAGCTTTTGAAAATATTTCATCCAGACTTATTGTACTGTTTTCTAGTAGTCGCTGTCTGACAACCTGTGAATTTATCCCTTTTATAAATGCATCTCTAATATATTCATTGCGATATTCAATAGCAGACACCTGTTTAAAGTTACATTCTTTTGCTAAAACTTTAAGAGCGTGTAAATACTCATCAAAACTTTCTCCTGGCTGTTGCTTACGAGTTGCCAAGAGGTGTCGTGCATAAACCTTATTTGATGGTTTGATCTACACAGATTGTAAAGCTTGTATTGCTGCTTCATAGTTTAGACATTCGCTTTATTATTATTTCATAAAATAATATTATTTCATAAACATCGGGCACAACAAAATTAGTCAGGATTTTTAACTTATTGAGTTCTTGAGGGAGTTCATCAAGATAATATTCAAATGTTCTGAGCCAATGGTTAAATAATTTTGTTGCAGAAGGTGAGTTTGGTAATGTATCCAAGCGAGAAGGTCTTAGAGCTCTATCCATATTTTATTTTTAAAATTGAAACACTTGTATAAAAAACAACAATATTTTAATTCTTATAAGTTTTTCTACTCTAAAATAAACAAAGTAAATAATCAAAACACAGCACTATGAAACTTTAAACTTATTGGTGAATATAAGTCTAGTTTAGAACAGTACAAATATTATTTTATCAACTTGTTGCCCTCACATTTTGCAGAAGTGAAGGGATAAAATTTTAGGGTTTCTTTTTTTCCAACCTCCAATCATTGCAATTTTTTGCAAAGCATCATTGTTTAACATAAATATAAACATACAAATGTTTGGAGTTTGCTCTAACATCAAAAAATGCTTGATCTGTCTCTGCATATGAAAGACAAACCTTTTGATTTGTCTTTCATGATTAAAGCATGTAGTATCATGGTGATAATATGGTGTAGATAGATGGTGCAAAATGATGATGATAACCCTGACAACAAAATTTAAACATATTATGGTGAAAATTATGTGAAACACCCATTAGGTAGAGGGTTTCATTATGAGTATATTGTTAAGAATCATTTTTGTGATCAAAGGAGTCATTTATTACAAAAAGCAACAATGAAGTAATGTGTTTAAAAAAACTTGACAGTTTAATGCTATTTAATACATCTCAGTATTTAATTGCAGGTTTCAGAAATAATATAAAACACTTCAATCAATTTACCTGCTTGTGAAGAAAATTTATTGAAATATATTTTTTATAAGTCTTTGAATGAAGTGAAATGAGTCTTTCCTGTACAGCAAGACTTGTTTAGATTCATTAAAAAGATGGTTTCAAGTTTTTTTTTGCCCAAACTGACCTTTATATTCCCAAAATCCTAATGTTAAATTTAATAAAACCTTAATAATCAAGGTTTTGATAAATTTAGGACAATCAGACATCAATGTGTATTTAGGAAATAAATGAATGAGATGGTACAGGAAATGAATGAATGAGATGGTACAGGAAATAAATGAATGAGATGGTACAGGAAATGAATGAATGAGATGGTACAGGAAATGAATGAATGAGATGGTACAGGAAATGAATGAATGAGATGGTACAAGAAATGAATGAATGAGATGGTACAGGAAATGAATGAATGAGATGGTACAGGAAATGAATGAATGAGATGGTACAGGAAATGAATGAATGAGATGGTACAGGAAATAAATGAGATGGTACAGGAAATAAATGAGATGGTACAGGAAATAAATGAGATGGTACAGGAAATAAATGAGATGGTACAGGAAATAAATGAGATGGTACAGGAAATGAATGAATGAGATGGTACAGGAAATAAATGAGATGGTACAGGAAATGAATGAATGAGATGAGACAGGAAATGAATGAGATGGTACAGGAAATGAATGAATGAGATGGTACAGGAAATGAATGAATGAGATGGTACAGGAAATGAATGAATGAGATGGTACAGGAAATGAATGAATGAGATGGTACAGGAAATGAATGAATGAGATGGTACAGGAAATGAATGAATGAGATGGTACAGGAAATAAATGAGATGGTACAGGAAATGAATGAATGAGATGGTACAGGAAATGAATGAATGAGATGGTACAGGAAATGAATGAATGAGATGGTACAGGAAATAAATGAGATGGTACAAGAAATGAATGAATGAGATGGTACAGGAAATGAATGAATGAGATGGTACAGGAAATGAATGAATGAGATGGTACAGGAAATGAATGAATGAGATGGTACAGGAAATGAATGAATGAGATGGTACAGGAAATGAATGAATGAGATGGTACAAGAAATGAATGAATGAGATGGTACAGGAAATGAATGAATGAGATGGTACAGGAAATGAATGAATGAGATGGTACAGGAAATGAATGAATGAGATGGTACAGGAAATAAATGAGATGGTACAGGAAATAAATGAGATGGTACAGGAAATAAATGAGATGGTACAGGAAATAAATGAGATGGTACAGGAAATGAATGAATGAGATGGTACAGGAAATAAATGAGATGGTACAGGAAATGAATGAATGAGATGAGACAGGAAATGAATGAGATGGTACAGGAAATGAATGAATGAGATGGTACAGGAAATGAATGAATGAGATGGTACAGGAAATGAATGAATGAGATGGTACAGGAAATGAATGAATGAGATGGTACAGGAAATGAATGAATGAGATGGTACAGGAAATGAATGAATGAGATGGTACAGGAAATAAATGAGATGGTACAGGAAATGAATGAATGAGATGGTACAGGAAATGAATGAATGAGATGGTACAGGAAATGAATGAATGAGATGGTACAGGAAATAAATGAGATGGTACAGGAAATGAATGAATGAGATGGTACAGGAAATGAATGAATGAGATGGTACAGGAAATGAATGAATGAGATGGTACAGGAAATGAATGAATGAGATGGTACAGGAAATGAATGAATGAAAACAGGAAATAATGAGATATAATCTGAAGCATAAGAGTAAGAAGAAAAAAAAACATTGTAGAATTTGGCACTTACATAAGCATGGTTCATTAATTTTTTAACCATTTACGTTTATAATTATTTTAATCATTTTAAATATCAGTTAATTTGTAAGATAAAGTCAGTTGTTAAGATACAAATATTTAAATATTGCACAATATATAAAAATACTTATTTTTATTCCTTATAGTTGTATGAAGACCTTGTAAATATACTTGATCCTACACTGAAAATAAAAGAAGATGTACGTGCTTTTTTAATAATAATAATAATAGCAATAATTATAATAATAAAAATATTAATAATAAAAATATTAATAATAATAAAAAAGATTATTAAAACAAATATTATGTAATAAAGTAAAGAGATTTAAAAAATATTTAAAAAAAGGTTTGGCTGTGTTTTGAATCATTGTCTTAAAAGTAAAAAAAACAACTTTTTTCTTTTTTTTTTAAAAGGTTTCTCTAGGAATCAAGATTAATTTTTTTTTAAAACTTTGTCAATCTGGTACTTAAAAAATGCAGAATAAATTTTTAGTTTTGAAATATTACTTTTATTTTATGAAAGTTTTTTTGTTAAAAAAAAACTTTTAAAGTAAAATAAATTATTTTTTTTTAAAATCAGCATAAATTTGTTTCTCAGGAATGTTTGTTCACATCAAGTACCATTTATGTCTCAGTATTGTTTGTTTTCAAATTATTATTTTTTTGCTATGAAAATCACTTCACCCTATTATGTAATATTAAATTTTTTTTTTTATTATTTATAAAATTTTTTAGGTTGAACTACTTTCTAATACCTCAGAAAATTCGCCATTATCAAATAAAGTGTCTCATCATATAGTTTCAAGTTCAAATAAGGTATAAATTTTTAATAAGTTATAAGAATTAAACTTTAAGCTATAGAGTTGATAAGTTAAATGATATGAAAATGATTAAACCAATTAAAGTTAAAATATAAAATGTAAAATTATAGAATTAGATAAGGGCCAGATTAGCATGGTTGGATAGGTAAGAATCAGATTAGCACTCCTGGATAGTACCTTGTTAATTATGATTTTTAAAATGCCCTCAGTAAGATAATTGTGGGTTTAAATTTCTGCATACTCAGTATAAGTTATACTTAAATATAAAAGGTAACTTTGATAAACAAATAATAATGATAATGATAAAGTGCTGAAACAGGGGCAGATGTTCCTTAGGGATTATCTTTTTCCAGATAGTTCCGGAATTCTGGATATTTTTTTCAGCTTGTAGTTTTTCCGGGTATCCAAAACATTTTTAATACATGCAAGTTGAGGTATATATTTTTATAATATATTTATTTTTTAAGCTTTTTAACTCTCATCACTCATAGAAAAATTATTAAAATTGTAAAAAAAATTAGAAACAACTTAGCTAATAGCAAAATTAAAAAGAAAATAAGGGAAAACAAATTCGGGATTTTTTCCAGATATTTTATTCAAACAATTTTCCAGATTTTTAAAATATGACTAGGATGATCTATTCCTGCAGAACCTGATAACACCTATGTCTTTCTTTGTCTATAAAACTCTTGAATTGATTTAAACTCTATGCATTGATCGTAACAGAGTTTAACTTGTTCCAAATAGCTTCAACGCGGTTTGTAAAGAAGTTATATATTGGTGTGCAGTCTTTTACCAACTCAGATTTCAGTTTATAATTGTGACAAGTCTATATTCATACTTTAACTTATTTAATAATGGTTATATATCTATAAACTCATTGTGATTACTTCAAAATAAATTGATATCATGGAAACACAATATCAAAATAACAATTTTTTAAATTAACCGATAAAGTTATACCATTAATTAAAATACTTTAAGGGGTTGCTACACATAAATATCTAGTGGTTTTATTATTTTTTTTATTATCTTTACTTCCAACTAGGCTGCAAGCAACCACTATTAGAATTAGAAGTTACCGGAAGAGAAAAGAGGAAATTTACAGACAACTTAAAATATTGTAAATTATATGAATCAGGAAAACAAGATAAAGGAATCAAATTCCTAAGGATGTTCGAGGAAAAAAAAATAGACGAATAAGAACTTTTGAAGCACTTTGAAAAAATCACAGTAAAAGGATGAGACTTAAATTAATAACGAGTAACGCAAGAATGAATTTTAGTAGATGATACAAGAGATGCTAGCTTCTTAGAGCAGCACCCTTTGTCAGAGGTTGGCTGCAAGAGCAGGTCTAACTATGTTTACAATGCGTTTTTGCACATTTTCTAAAAGAGAAAGAACATTTTTGGAAGTTCTGACCCAGATATGGCAACAGTATTCTATATAAGGATAATTTTGAGATTTATAGAGATGAAGAATAGAACCTTGACTAAGAAAGTGGCGAGCTCGATAAATGATGCAACCTTAACAGATGCTAATTTTGCAATGGATTTGATATATGGTTTTTGGGAAAGATTGGAAGTAAGAGTTTATCCTAGAAGATGAAGGGTAGATGACTTATTAAGTAAATTACTGTTCATAAATATAGAATGATCTAGACTATCTACATTATCTATACGATAATGGTAGTATCATTAGTGAACAATGTGACCTTAAATGTGAGAATTTCTGGGAGATCCTTAATGTAAATTAGAAAGAGTATAGGGCCAAGGATAGAACTTTGTGGAACCCCTGAAGTTACAGGAAATGAGGAAGAGTGCTGTAACAACAACTTTTATGTTATGGTTGATAAGGAAGGATTCAATAATTTTAAAGATTAAAGAAAGGTGGAATAACACATTTGAAAGACCGGCTACAAAATATGATGGACAATGCTTTTAGACAAAATACCATCAAGCAAAACATGAAGATGGTTTCAAAAAATAGTTTTTTACAATATTTTTTGTTCTGTTTTTGAAATGTATTTTTTCCAACATAAACTAAGTAATTTTTGTTTATAATTCATAACATATTATTTTTGAAAACACTTGGAAAAAAATGCAGTTGTAATAAAAAATGTTAATGAAAATCATGAAAATTTATCAAAATTACAGTAATAAAGCAACCATTCAGAATTTGTGCATTGGACAATATACTTCAATTTAATTTGATTATTTTGTACAAATATTGAATAATAGCCAATATTTTTACAAAAAAATCAAGAGTTTATATCATAAAATATAAAAGCAATTCATTACAATTTATATGATTTTTTTTCTAAAAAAAATTTCTTTAGCTAAAGTTAGTCTCAGAGGCCAGATATTTTTATGATGGGCTACTGAGACCCAATAAGAAGGATTTCCATAGTGCACGTAGTTGTTTTCAAGAAAAAAATTTTTTCTGAGAGACTCTAATGGACATCCTTTGGGATGCCCATTAGGGTCTCAATTGTTATTTTGTTAGAAAATATTTTAAATAGTTGGAAATTTGATAATAAAAGTTATTTAATTTGATTTAAAATAAATTAAAAAAAAAAATTGAGTCTCAAATCACTTTTCTGATTTAATTCGATTTGAAATATAGAAGCTTAGCAGGGGTCTAATATCTTTATAAATTTATTACCCATCTTTTAATAGAATGTAGCTATATTTATAATGATGTAATGGTCCTTTCATTTGACATTTCACACTAAGTATAAAAGCAATTAGACTGTATTTCCATATCTGAGCTAGCTCTAATACAATATATATCTTTTATTTAGATAATACATTATATATCTTTTATTTTAGATAATACAATATATATCTTTTATTTTAGATAATACAATGTATATCTTTTATTTTAGATAATACAATATATATCTTTTATTTTAGTTAATACAATATATATCTTTTATTTTAGATAGTACAATAAATATCTTTTATTTTAGATAATGATGTACTGATTGTTTTATTTTAACAACTTTAAAATATCAAAGTATTAACATATAAATGGTGCCCCTGTTAACACTTTAGTGTACCTTGTAGATACCACATAAGAAAACCTTTTGTATTAACTTTAGATTGATTAGCAGGAGTGTGGCAGCTGTATAGCTTATTGCTAAGAGTGCTAAATACTTGTATCCCCCTGTGTGGATTTTTTGTTTTGTTTTTACTCTACTTATGAATCCAATAACTGAAAAGATGGCTACAGCGCGTAAAAATATAAAACATAAAAAACCATCATTCTTATCATATTGGTTCTATCTATTTTTTTATCAAAAGTAGTAAGCAAACCTTTATTTAATGTTAAGTTGTTACCAAAAAAATCTCATTATAGAGTTGCTTTATTTAACAGAATTATTTTTATAATACATACTAATTTAAATTTTGCGAAATGTGGCTGATGTAGATTCTTCTATATGACTACATCACTACTTTTAGATAAAGTGCAAAAGCACAAATACAGGTAACTTGGATTTTGCATTAATCTAGTCTTCGTTTTTTTAGTTGCATAGCACTTTAGGATGTTTGACACCAAAGGTGTCAAACATCCTAAATATAACCTGTTTTTGCTCTCAAATTATTTACTATTAAAAAAAAAAAGTTACAATTATTTATCAAAAACTATTCATGGTAGCTATTCTCATTTTTAGCACCATTTTCATAACATTAGTAATCTGTTTGTGTGGCTTGTATTTCAGTTGAGTAATACAATTATCAACTGATCAAAAGGTTTTAGCAAAACAAAATTCTCCATAAGTCATGAGAGCCTAAATTTTGAAATAAAGTATGAGATTTTGTGACCTTAGAATGGTATTAGACAAAATCTTTTTACAATGGTTTCTAGCAAAGTAAACAGACAAAAAGTCTTTTTTTTTTTGATTGCTTAGAACAGACAGCCCATGTTGAATCTGGTCACACTTCTGTAACTGATTGGGACCCACAGTGGCTTGTAAATTTTAACTCGAACGGGAAAAATTTTAACTCGAACAGGAAACTCAGTTATTTACAGCAAACAAATATCACAGTACTTTCCACATTCTTATATTGATGTATGGCAACCCTCTCACTGAGTCTTCTTCTTTACATCTTCTTGGATTATCATTTTCTACTGACCTTTTATGGAAACCATTTATACAATCGATTGCTAAATTAGCATCTGCTAAGATTGCTTCTTTTTATTGTTCTTGCCATTTTCTCTCTCCTGATTCCATTATCTACCTCTATAAATCTTTGTGCTGGTTCTTTTTATGATGCTCTTTCACTTCTAGACAAGGTTCAAAAACACATTGTAAACATAGTTGGACTTGGTCTATTTGCTAAGCTTGAGCTTCTTTCCCATTGTCATAAAGTTGCATCTCTTTCTCTTTTCTACGAATACTAAAATGGCTGCTTCTAAAAGGAGCCATGATAGTATTGGTAATTTAGGCTTGCTAAATTTGATCAGAAATAACATCAAAAAGGTTGCTGTCTTAAGATGAAGGATATATTTTTATTTTATTTATTTTTTATTTTATATAAAAAATTATTTTGAAATAGGTAAAATAGATATAAATAACTTTATGTAAAATTAAACTTCTTTTTATAAAAACCTTGAAATGAAAATTTGTTAAGTTTTTAAAAAAATCAAATTTGTATAGATTTGGTATAAATACCAATAAATAATATATTAAAAGTTTGTTTCAAGATATTAGTTATTCAAAACTATAGCAGGCTTTGGTGGGAGTAAATGAATACACTGGCAGTGAAAAGCTTGTCTAAAATAGAGTTTATAGGTTAGGCAAGGCATCTCCTATATCATTTTTGTGTGAATTTTTTCTATATTCAGATTAAAGTTTTGATGAGCATGGAACATGGAACCTTTTTATTGAAAAGATTTAGATAAATTCCAGTTTTTTATTGTTGCAGAACAACGCTGAACAATTTTATTTTCTCTCAACTTATTACACTCAATTCTATTTGTTTTCATTTCTTCTGTGGTTCCAATAAGGTTTTTTTCTGAGTTGTTTCTTTATTCTCAGAGTTTTTTCAGTTTCATGTTCAGTTTGTTCAGTTTAGGCCTTTCATTTGTTTTCTTTACCTTTCATTTGTTTTCTTTACCTTTCATTTGTTTAATATTCCAGCTGGTCAAGTTGATGAATTTGCAAACAACAAACAAAAAAAATTAACTCTTACATTTTATTAGATTTCTTTATTCCTGATGTTTTCTTGGAAATTTTATTAATAAATTTATCATTTTACTAACTTTTTAAATTTTACTACAGTATATTTTATATTATTATTTATTTGGCCATGCAAACTTACAAAAAAAAGGCATGGAGATGAGTGCCATTTCTGCCAAAATTTGTACACCCTTAAAATAAAATTTTGTACACCCTTAAAACAAAAGTTTGTACACCCTTAAAATAAAAGTTTGTACACCCTTAAAATAAAAGTTTGTCCACCCTTAAAATAATAATTTGTAAACCCTTAAAATAAAATTTTGTACACCCTTAAAATAAAAGTTTGTACACCCTTAAAAACTTATAATTAAAGTTTTATTGTTTTATGAAGCAAAAAATTTTCATCGTTCAATGTTATGATCTTTTTGTGATCATTTGGTATGTTGCTTTTATGATGGTAAACGTTTTTGTTTTTATGATGATAAATATTTTTGTTTTATTAAGATCGATGTTCCAACACTCAATGAACCATGCTCTGGGTAATATTTATGTAAACTTATTTTGTAACTCATTTAAAACTCACTTATTTCATTAACTTTAACTTTCAGTGTCATTCAACTTTATTATGTTGACTTCCTTTGAGTCTATTTTTTGAATGCATATACATAGTGTGTTCAAAAGTGAAATTCACATTCAAGTTTTATATTTTTTTGGCTTTATTTATTATAAATCTCTGAAGGATGGTTGTCATACTAATATTATTATTATTATTATTATTATTATTATTATTATTATTATTATTATTATTATTATTATTATTATTATTATTATTATTATTATTATAGTATTCAGGATGATAATCTATATTTAAATTTTGTTACGTTTTTTTTTGTTTTAGATATCATGAAGCCATTCAATCTGCTTCCAATACCATATCAAAAAAAGTGGAAGATCATCCCAGCAGAGATGACAAAAGAGTTAAAAACAAAAAGACACAGATTAATCAGGTTGATAAGCTTTATATTTATTTAGCTATCTCAAAACTTTTTAAATCTTGAATCCATTTAAATTTTCATTTTTAATTTGGTTTTTATGTTCAGCTTTCCAAGATAGAAATCGTTACAAAGGATTTTTGTGATTGGGTGCATAATTTGGTGAGAAGAATTTTAACTTTTTGATGCATTTATGTACACATTGGTGCACAATGATGTAAATATCTGCACACTGACAAATATTAGACAATACAGACAGACATTTTACTTGAAAATTATTATCTTGAATATTTAAAAAAATTTTAATATTTTTTATTAGGGTGGTGAAGCTAATAACATAAGTGAGACAAAGATAAATGAACTATTTGCCAGCAGCTGTGAAACTAAGGCACGTCTTTTAATTGATTGGTTTTCTAAAAAATAAATTAATATACACATTTTGAGATTTTCAAAATTTTTGAGTTTTGTAAACCAGGCTTTTTTACCAAGAATTTATTAAAAGTTTCTTAGTTATATAGTGAAATGATTTTTTATTTTAAGAGCAGGAAGAATTAAATTACATCTTTGTTTCTACTCTAGCCTTCGTTATCGATTCCTGTTCAAGTAATAGAATTGACCACTGTTCCTTCTGAGCTATGTGTTGGTGGTCAATATCCGTTATCTGCTGATACACTTGACTATGATGCACAAGTAAGTTTTATTATTTTTTTATTTAAAAAAAAATAATTGTATTATAACAATTGTTATAAAAATAGACTAACAAAGTGTAACTTTTTCTGAAGCTTTTCTGAATTAAAACTTTATCTTGAAATAAAAATTTTATATTTTGAGTTTGTCTTTGTTCCATTATTTTTTATTCAACATTATTTTGTTGTGAATTAAAAGGTTGTCATACTAAACTTCATGTGTCCATCTATAGCAACTGCTGTGAAACTATGTTGGATGATATGTTATGATGTTGGAATTTAGGTTTTCCTTTTATTAAGTGTAGCTTATTACACTGAAAACAAAAAACGATGGAAAAATTTCAACTTAAAATTTTTAATTTAAAAAATCCTAAGTTTCAAAGAAAAAAAATGAAATATAAAATATTTAGCAGAAAACGGTATATTATACCAAATAAAAATAAATTAAATTAATTATCCAAATTAAATTAATAAAAATACCCAAATTGTGTGTTTTTAAATAATTTATGTTTGGATAATTTGTTTATTATTTAGAATCAAAAAACTTATTGTTTGAAAGCTTGAATCATTATTTTATTAAGAATTTAATAATTTCAAAAAAACTTTTTATATTTAAAAAATTTATTAATTTAAGGTTTTCTTAAAACTCTTATCTTTATAATCAAACTTGACATGACAACGACAAGGTCAATGAAAGTTATAAACTTCTTGTATGTTTAACTTATTTCAATTTATTTTTTCAAATTTTTTACATTACATTAAATTTCAAAGCAAAAGTTAAACCACAAAAGTGACTTTAACTGTATAATGTCTCCATCAAGAATTACACGATTTGCTACTAGGTTTAAATGATTTAGCCTGATTTAAAATTTTCTACAAAAGGACAGAATTCAACACCTTTCTAATACTCCACACAAATTTAGAAAGTTTGGTGGGATTAGCCTTACTTTCATAAAGAAAGTAGACCTAATTCCTCCAAAGTAAAGCTAGTTCTTTAATAGTTTTTTCTGTAAGCTTGATTTAATAGTTGCCTCGTGAGTTTGTTTTCACATTGCATCAATATTATAAATGATATTTTTACTTTAACATTTTCCATCAAGTGGACATAAATCAATCTACCAGCAGTTTTTTTTTTTTAAATTGCTTTTTGTCATCAGTGCTATTTAATATTGGTCAGTGCTATTTAATATATAAACTTTAATTTATTTTTTGTGCGCCTTTTATATAGTTGGTGGTGCCTCAGTTACTGTTTTAGCTCACCTGTAATCTACTTTGTATGTATGTTTGTGTCCTGTCTAAACTTCTGACACGGTGATGACCCACCCATAAGTTTCAATATGTATGTTTGTGTTCTGTCTGAACCTCTGGAGGCGGTGTTCACTCACCAGTAGGTTACTTAATGTGTGTTTTTGTTCTATTTGAACCTCTGGCGCTATGTTCATTCAAATTTAATTGCTTTATGTATGTTTGTATTCTGTCTCTTTATGTTTATATGTATGCTTGTGTTCTGTCTGAACTTATGGCACGAGTAAGTTTCTTTATGTATGTGTTGTGTTCTGTCTGAATCTCTAGGATGGTGTTTACTCACCTGTTATGTTTGTGTTGTGTTTAAATGTTCTTTTTAAATGTTTAAATCTGTTTTAAATCTGTGTGAGCTCATTAACTAACCAGTTATTCCAACCATAAACTTACACTCACCTTAATCTCTAGTGTTTGTTAGATGTAGTATTTTTCCTAATGCATTTTCAAAATATCATGCCAAGTGTTTTAAGGTTTTGTTTGCAGGAAGTAGCTCCTTTTAATTTTTCCAGGTCAGGTCAGGTTCAGGATCATCATGATCACCCTGCTACTGGTATCATGTAACCCAGTACCTCTTGCCTCATGCTCTGCTGCCTTGTAGGGTGTGTTTTTTTAGGCAAATGCTAGAAGAAACTAACTTTAACTTAAAAACCTCCTGCCCTGCGATGGTGTCTTGGTAAAAATATTCATCTTGGGCATATGTTAACTGCATCCAGCTACTGTCTTGTAGGAGGCTTCCTAGGCAAAGACTTTAGGGGTAAGCAAAATAATTTTGCTAACCAGCCTTGAACCCCTTCTTCATCTGTTTGGCTGGCATAGATGTATACCTGTGTTACATTACATGTCAAGGCCATATAAGGACCTCTATGTTAAGAGTTAGGGACAGGACTGAGAAAATTGAAAACCTTATTGCCTCGGAGACTGCTCTATCTATGAATGAGTCAAGTTCTCTTTGAATCTCTGAGCTCTATCTATGAGCTGTAGCTATTATTTCTGATCATAATCTTTTTTTTATCTTTTTCACCAAATTTAATTTTTTTTTCTTGGGTTCAAAGGGTTAACAAAGTCTTTGAAATTTTAATTAAAAAACTTCTAATAACTTATCTTGAATCTAACAACTTCTCTGACAATCTATCGCATTTAAATCAACTTGTTCAGTAAGGGGATCAAAGTACAGAATGCTGTCATATGGTTTTTTAAATAATGTTTTTCCTCTTTGATATTGATAAGTATTTATTTTAGCTTTTTTGTCAACCCTTTTTTCAAATGTTTTTTGTCAACTTTTTTCATGTTCTTTACCTCTGTTCTTTTGTAACTTCTAACGTAGAAAGTGGTTGCTTGCATTCTTAATTTGAAGCAAATATGTTTAAAAAAGTTTGTGAAAATAAAGTAACAGTAATGAAGTGTTCTTGTTGCATTAGAAAAAAGTAACAGTTATGAAGTGTTCATGTTGCATTAAAACTTTGAACAAAATCATAAGTATAATGCTAAAAAAAGTTTCAACAGCAACCTTTTTTTTTTTTAATAAATTTTAATTTATTAATTTTTTTTTATAAGGCCATTTAAAACATAATTAAATAAGGAAAAGTTTTTTTATATTGTATAATATATTATTTCTCATAAGATAAAGGTTTCATATAATTAATTTTTTTTTATTTAATTAGAAACCAAATAGTAAACATAGCCCAAAAAAAATCAAATATGGGGCATGGTACTTAGATCCGAAAACATGGTACCAAGAACATAAGTCAAGTCTTTCTAGACAGCCCCTTTATAGCCCAAATAATGTTTCAACAGATGTAGCTTCAGAAATGAAAAATGAAGAGATGGTAATTGTTTTTATTATATATTATTTTTAAATAATATTTTTATTTTACTATTAATTTAAAATATATTATCTTTATCAACATATGTTTTATTAAGCTTTTGAAAATATAATTTTTTTCAAAATTTAGTTTGTTGTTGATTGCATTTTTTCTCTTCGTAATATTTTTAGAATGAAGTTCTTTCTTCATTGCATGCAGTTAAAGTTTTTCGTGAATTCATTGAAAAAAAGGGTTTTCGTAATCCTGAGGTTTGTTTTATTTAATATTTTAACACTAACAAAACAAAAAATCTTTATTCTGTTGTTACTTGAGTTCAATTAGTTACTATGACAACTTTCTGATTTATTTCTGATGTTTTTATGTAAATAAGTTAAAACTATTTTATAACAATTAAGAGAAAAACTTTCAAAATAAAATAAAATTATGATATTGGTTTTATTTGATTTTATAAATTATAGTTAATTTTATTAGATATTATAGATACTTTATTATAATATCTAATAATTTTATTAGATATTACTGATAATTATGAATACGACCTTATTCAAATCTATAAAATAATTGCTTAACTTTAAAAAAATGAAAAGCAATGTTTGTATTCAAAATCTTGGTGGACACCTGAATTAAGCCGTTTTAAAACTATTCTTTCAATTCATTTTAACAAATGAAGAGATTCTGGTTCTTTAAAAGATTTAAACTCCGTAACTTTTAATCGTTACCTAATGGCTCGTAAAAGCTTTTGCAAAGCCGTCAAGTTGGCTCAAAATAATAAAATTTGTGCACAGTATGCTAAAATTGAAAAGTTAAAAAATATCAGACCAAAAAACTTTAGATGTTTAAACAAAGACCACCATTAATAATAAAAAAGACAAAGAATCCATTACTTCAGAATTCGCAAACCACTTCGAAAAAATACTGAATACTTCAAAAATAACACATTGTAATGAAAATCATCAGAGAATTCCACCGTTTACAAAACATGGTGATGTTACAATAACTGAAAAAAATATAATAGGGCTATTTCGAATCTAAAGTTTAAAAAATCTTCTGACTCTTTCGGTATCTCAGCAGAACATTTGAAATACGACTTTAACAAAATGGTTCATCAAATTTTTTAATTATTCCATTAACTATGGATGGATACCATTATCAATATCGATGTCTATTATTATACCCCTTGTTAAATAGTATAAAAAATCTTTAGATAGCCCGAGCAATTATCGCGGTATTAGCATTATACCAACTTTTGCCAAGGTTCTAGAATATCTAATCCTTATTATATGTCCGGATATTAGAGATGCTCACCCCCAACACTACATTTTGAATTTCTAATTAGCGAAACAATTAAACAATAAAATAGCAATAATTCACCTGTGTACCTATGCTTTTTAGATGCAGAAAAAGCTTTTGATAGCTGCAACTAGGATATCCTGTTTGTTGAATTATACTTCGGTAAAAAAACTACCTGTATAGTTAACACTATCTCTTTGTTATATAACAATAGTAGCGCAACAGTCTTATATAAAGGTTGTAAATCAAACTCCTTTCTTCTTAAGCAAGGAGTAAGACAAGAATTGATTCTTTCACCTCACCTATATAATATTTACACTGAAAGTTTTTTTGAAACTATTACAAATTAAGGTATTGTTGGCACATCTATATATGGTAGCTTCACTGTTTGATGGCATATGCTGATGATATCATACTTTTAAGCTCTACCCTCTCTGGTCTCAAAAAGCTGATAAAAACATGCAACATTTACAATAATTTAAGTTGTATTAAAATAAATGCCGAAAAAACTGAATTCTTGATTTCAGGTAAAGCACAAATACAAACCAATACGATAACGATTTCTAGTAATCAAATAAATTCAGAATAAACTTAGGGATTCACATGGGGTACTAAACATTCAACTTTTGCTTCACTCAATAATACAAATATTGATGAAAAAGTTTCAAACTTTAAAGCTGTTGTTCTATCTCTTGAATCTGGTTTGCCCACCTAAGTTCTATTTCCTATATATATAAATTATTGGCAGTCCCTATCTTATCTTATGGTATAGAGCTATGTGAAAATAGTTCTGCTTAAATGAAATAGCTAGATGTAATTGGAAGGAGTGCATTAAAATCGCTTTTAAATGTTTCAAAACACAGTAAGAACTATACAAATTCGCTATTTAAAATCCAGGACATTTCAAAAAGTATTCAACAAAATAAATTAAACTTGTTTCTTTGTCTTCTTAATAATTATGCGGTAGTGGTGTAGTGGTAGAGCGCTCGCTTCATAAACGAGTGGTTCCGAGTTCGATCCCCGCCATGTCCCTAGTAGTACCGCGCTTAACTCGTTTCTCCACGCAGCGGCCTTGTTCGTCAAGGGTCGTGTTTCAGAGTTATAGAGTTGAGAGAGGGTTATAGCCACAAATAAGTAGCCTCCTCGTCTGTAATGGCCTTCTCGGCCTTAAGGAGGTGAATTAAATAAAATAAAAAATAATAAAACAACTTCAGACATCATTATCTTTTCACAACTAAACATTCGTTTGTTGGCGATATCCAGGACTATGCCGTTTTCGCATGCTAAATTTTAAAAATTTCATTCAAAATGAAAAGGAGATAAAAATAGCACTCTCTAAAAGTGAAATTCCCTCCCAAGTTGAACAGACTTTGAAATATGCAATAGAGTGCTGGAATGCGAAAAAACAAAGAGGAATTTTTAAACAAATTCTGGAAGAAAAATTTCTTAAGTGAAAATCACGAGAAATAACTTTTTTATTTTTCTTTTTACCTTGTAAATTACATTAGGTGTTAAATAAATGAAATAATAATAAAAAAAAATAAGATGTTATAATATTTTCCAATAAAATAAAATATTTATAAAATAAAAAAATAATAATGGCTGAAAATTGTAGAGAAATTGTTTTAGATTTAAATTTTTTATGAATTTACGTCCAACAAAGCTGCATGCAACCTCTATTTAAGTTGGGAGTTAACAGAAAACGATTGACAGGCCTAAAAAGTTGTCAATTGTATGAGTCAAAAAAATAAGATAAAAGAGTAGAATTCCAAAGTACCAATGTTGGAGAAGAAAAAACTAGATAAATAAAAGTTTTTTTAACATGAAAAATTGATTACAGTAGATAACTTTCTGAATGAAGAGTCACATATAATTGACTTGATAGAACAAGTGATAATAACATAATAAAAGCAAATAACATGAGTAAATGCTAATTTTGCAATAGATTGTATACATGGAGGTTGATAGTGAATGATAATTAGAGAAGACGTAAAGTAGAAGACTAAGTAACTATGTTACCATAGGAACAAAGGGTGTACACTAAATAAATGTGAAACAGAAAATTTTTTTTTTTTTTTAGTGGTTGTGTTAATATATTTTTAGTTGTGTTTGTATTAATCAAATATTGATTAAATCCAAATCCGAAGCTACACTACTGATTTTCTCATAGTTTTTTTGTAAAAGTTTGCAACATTGTCTCCATTCTTTCAGCTCACAAAAAATGCCAAATTATTCTACAACTCAAAACTAAAGTGCAAGATCCTGCTAAAGGAAAGTTATTTGACAACTTGAAGATAATCTTCAAATTTTGAAAATAATCAAACTTATATAAAGTACAATCATTAGCAAATTCCTGGTGCTGTCTATTATATAGATATACAGAAAAAGAAGTTAAAAAGTTTAAATGTACAAAACATAGTTTGCTAAAAAATCATTGGTTTGGCAATTCTTGTTAGTATTTGGGAGTGTGGGAAAAAATCACCATCTTATATTTTTGACACTTTTTAGTCAAATATATGGTAAAGTGACTTTACAAAAAATGCTTTTTACCACATTAAATCACATGATAGTAGACCTGTGTTGTGGCCTGATTTAGCTTCAAAATATCATAGTAAACTTGTTATGAAATAATATAAACAAAATGAAGTGAAAGTTGTGCCTAAAACAGAAAATCCTTCGAACTGCTCAGAATTGAGAGTTATTGAGAGTTATTATCTGGGCATTTTCTTCAAGATATGCTAAATGTATCCGATTGTTATCACAAAAACAGGTTCTGAAAATTTATGCTTTAAAATTTTAAGTTGTAATAGTTGCCTACAATTTAATAAATATAACTTTTAGGACAAGACACTAGCAGTTGTTAAAAAACTTTTAAAAGTTTAAAGTGACAAAAGACACCATGGATTTGATATAGTAAAGAAATTTTAAAAATACTTTATGATCTTGTATTTTATTTCTGATATTTTAAAAATACTTTATGATTTTGTATTTTATTTCTGATATTTTAAAAATACTTTATGATCTCGTATTTTATTTCTGATATTTTTAAAATACTTTATGATCTTGTATTTTATTTCTGATATTTTAAAAATACTTTATGATCTTGTATATTATTTCTGATATTTTAAAAATACTTTATGATCTTGTATTTTATTTCTGATATTTTAAAAATACTTTATGATCTTGTATATTATTTTTGATATTTTTAAAATACTTTATGATCTTGTATTTTCTGATATTTGCTTTATTGCAAGTTTTACAATACAAATTTCATTTGTATTGTAAAACTTAATACAAATTTCATTTGTATTCATATAGTTTTATAAATTTTATTTACCTAGATTTGATAGATTTTTAAAAAAGATCTTAAAAGATCAACAAATCTTGATTTCTTTTCTATTATTCTATTTCCTATAATGTCTATATTATGAGCTTGAAATTAAGGAGGGATCTGTATTCAGTTCAGCTATCTCATCTTGTGATCTTAGTGTTGATGGTTATCTTCCTTTAATTCGTAAAGACCCCAATAGTCACATGCTTGGCCTAGAAATTTACATTAATAACAATTCACCCATTTGTCAGGAAACTAGGTTTGAATCTATAGACTACGCTTTTATGTGCTTTCGTTTAGCGCTACTTTACTCTATCGCCTTTCTCTTTGTTCTATATCGCTCTCCTTCATCTCAAGATTGCACTCTTCTTAATGTTGTTTCTGATCGACCAAGCCCTCTCTCTTTATCCATCAGCAAATATTGTTGTCATTTTTCCAAATCGCTTACCAGACAACCCAAATCATTTGCCTTCTCTATTCGACTTATCTCTTGTTTCTGATCCTATTCAGTGCTCAGTTTCTCCACATTCACCCTTAGGTGCCTCTGATCACAGCTTGATCTCTCTAAAACTACTATCTCACTCTTCTTTATCATCAGAATCCCCCTATCATCATACATCTTACAACTACCTTAAAGCTTACTGGGAATCTTTCCGTTATTTTCTTTGTGATGGCCCTTGGGTAGAAATCTTTCCAAATCTTCTTATGTAAGAAGCACATTTGTCAACAATCCTGTTGACAAATTTGCTTCTTACATAACTTCGTGGATTCAGGCTGACATGGAATTCTTTATTCCCTCTCAGCGATTCCAGATCAAGCCTCACTCTTCTCCATGGTTTTCCTCACATTGTGCTGCTGCAATTGCCAATTGAAACCATTACTTCCATATCTATCAGCAAAACAATTCTCCAGAAAACAGGTGTCTGTTTATTACTACTAGGAACCATTGTAAAACGGTTTTGTCTAATGCCAAAGCCCGCTATACTCAGGTCATGAAATCTCGTATTTCATCACAAAAATTAGACTCTCATGACTTCTGGAGAATCTTTAATAGTATCAATAATAAGGGCAAATCTGTAATTCCACCTCTCTTGTATGGTTCAGACTTTGTCACCTCACCTAAAGACAAAGCTGAATTATTTGCTTAGAACTTTTCATCAATATCATCTATGAACTTTAATTCAGATATAATAATTTCAATTTTTTTCAGCCAATCATTACTGCCACAATTTAGACCTTTCTATAACTATGAACGGTAATGTAGGATTAACTCTTACTTCTGATCTTTCTTAGAAACCATTTATCAAATCCGTTGCAAAATTAGCATCTGCAATGGTTGGATCTCTTTATCAAGCTCGACACTTTCTTACTCTTGATTCTATTCTCTATCTCTATAAATCTCATATCCGGCCTTGTATGGAATACTATTGCCATATCTGGGGCGGATCTTCTAATGATGCCCTTTCTCTTTTAGATATGGTGCAAAAACGCATTGTAAACATAGTTGGACCTGCTCTTGCAACCAACCTTCAACCATTATCACATCGTCAGAATGTTGCTTCTCTTTCTCTTTCCTACAAATACTATAATGGGCACTGCTCTAAAGAGCTAGCATCTTTTGTGCCATCTACTAAGTTCATTCTTGTGTTACTTTTATTCAATTAAATCTCTTCTATTTTCTGTGACTCTATTTTCTTAGATTTCGTAAATCCTCCAAAAACTCTTATTCGTCTAGTTTTTTTTCCTCGAACATCAGTTCTTTGGAATTCGCTTCCTTCATTTTGCTTTCCTGATTCATATAATTTGCGATCTTTTAAGTCGTCTCTCAATCTTACTCTACAATCTTCATCTTTTCTCTTCCAGTAACTTCCAACACTAATTTGTGGTTTTTTGCAACTTTGTTGGGAGTTAAAAAAAAATCAGTAACAAGTTTTAAGACAAGACAGATGTAATTGTATAAGACAAGACAGATGTAATAAATAAATACACATGACATTTACTTCAAAATTGTAATAACACATCCAATAAAAATAAAAAAGCCAGTAAAAAAAAAAATTGTTATGTGGAAAACTTGAACATACCACAAGAAGGAAAAAATGATAATTCAAGAATGTTTCCTGTGATCATATAAAATCAATAAGACTTATATCTTTGTATATTTATGGTTAATATTAAAGCATGACATTTAGCGCCCCGCCCCTGCCCACTCCGTCGCCTCATTTCTCGCGTCAGAATGCACTCGCATAAAATTAAACCTCAGAATTAGATTCTTTGACTGAAAAAAGTAATATACTTAAATTTTCTCAAAGTTTCATAAATAATTAACGAAGTTATGGATTTTTTTTTCCAAAAACCACATTCTAAGCACACTTTGCAATGTTTTAAAACACTCTTTCCACTTCTCCTTAATCAATTTGATCTAATTTAACTAATTTAAATTTAATTTAACTATTCTTTACGGCTTGAATAAAGTTAAAATCAATTGAGTTAAAATTTAAAGTTATTATTTAACTTAGACGTTTTGATTATTCTTTTGTAGTTTCTTAAAGATGTCCCGTTGGACAATGACGATAATGTAGCTCATAATGTAGCTGATAGTTCGAAATGAAGACCATTTTGTAGTATATTTATGCAGGTTTCCATTTTAAAATGTTAATGTTATGTAAAAATTTTATATCATATTTGTATTATAATTATTATTGTACAACTTATAGTAAATATATAGAGAAATTTAATATTATTTTGTAATGTAAATGTTTCTTATAAATATATAGAAAAAAATCATGTTGCATTTAAAATTTTGTTATTTTATCTTGATATTAAAAAATAATTATTTTTTGAAGTATTTTATCTTTGTATTAATTTAAAATTTTCTAATGACACAAAAACTTTCTCTCAGTTTTGTTAGTTTTAAAATCTACGAATAATAAGACTCGTCATAAAAATTAATAAATTGAGGTTTAAAAATTTTTTAAACCTCAATTTATTGAGGCTTAAAAAATTTTGTTTGAAAATTAATTTTCTCCCTCGATAAATTAATTTTCAAACAGCTCCTCTAGTTTTCAAAGAGCAATTGTTATGATAATTATGATAATTTATCAAATTTGTTTTTATTACACATTTGTGATAAACACAAATTTGTTACCACAGGCGGATAAAAATATTATAAATGATGACGAAATGTTTTTTTGAATCGTATTATGAAAATGAAGTATAATGGAATCTTAATATTGCAAATGAAAAGTATATTTGAATATCATACGATAAAGTTATTTTTATTAAGATGTTAAGCGTACTATTAAATAAATCAGCAGAAGAAAAGAAAATTCCAGTAAAAAAAATATTGCATTTTTCGATTTGAATGAATTAAAAGTTTCAAAAAAAAACTGAAAAGAAAAAAAGTCTTTTAAAAAAAAAAAAAAATCAAATAGAAAAACAACAATTATGTGAATTAAAGTCTTTTTAAACTTCAGCTTATATCAATCAAATAAAAAACAAATTTAAAAGTAAAAAAAATCATCTATTGTTGTCATAGACTATGACAACACCAGACTATGACTCATAGTAACTCTTAAGTTAAATTAGATTAACAATACGTGTTGCAAGAAAATGATAACTTAAACGAAGAAAAATATAAAAACAAAGTATATATAAACTAGGATCCTACAATTACAGTAAAAGTAGGTTTGAAATTATTATTAGATGAAAAAAAATTAAATAAAGCTGGTCCCATAAAGAATTCTTCTTTTTGTGACCCTGTTCGTCAATTGTGGCTGTTGTTCCGATCAAATTATATACTTCTTCATTATGTCGGATACTGTATTATGAGGAATTCCAGTCTCTTCCTGCTCCTGGCAAAAAGTTTTACCTTGATTATTTAGATTGACAGCTTACATTTTATGAGCAACAGTCCAGTGACCTTTACCTCCAGCTATATTACTAAAAGAAAATAATTCGAGTTTTTTGTTATGCAATTTTATCAATTGATTACAACTTAGATTAAAAATTTCATTAAGTTTCACATAAAACTAATTAAACTTACCTAAATATCGTTTGATCGAATTTTTACAACCCTATTCAATACTAAGTTTCTTTTAGGACAAATAATAAACCAACTGAAGCATGAATCAAAAAATATGCACGCTAAATAAAATTTCCAACAGGATTAATATAATTTAGAGAACAAACTTTTTTTTTTTAATTATTTGGTTGGAGAGTTTTTTGAGAGTCTTTTTCTATGGGAAGGAGAAAATACTATACCAATTAAAAAAAAAAAACACTGATCATAAATATTTGTCTCACTGAATTTATAAATTATCTTACCGATTGTATTAATAAAAATGAGGAAAAATAAACGCACAAGCGTTATGATAAGTGGTGATTTTAAAGCGACACTCCGCATACATTTTTTTCCAGATTCGTTAGATTTTTTATCAATTTATCAGATTGTAGATCTCATGAACAAAAAACCATTTATGTGCTTTAAATCCCCGGATTTATTAGCATGTTTTCTTAGAAACACTAAACATACGTGCATTTATTTAAATTTACACTGTAAAAGTCAAATTCTGTTTGTTCCTTTAAATATACAATGTGCGGCGTCATCTATCGCGTCAATGCATCGAACACGGTTAATCGAACAAAAATGTATCTTAACAATTTACAATGTGTTAAATAAAAAATGGTTTAAAAAATGGTATAAAGTTACTTACATTAGTAGGTTTTTGTTTTACGATTATGTTCCTTAAGATACCTTCACATTTCACATAAGAAGTAAATAGATTGTATAATGTAATATTAATCGTAAATCGTTAAATTAAATAGACCGTTTAATATATCGTTAATCGTAAATAGTTAACTTAAATGCTTTATTAATAAGACACGTTAACAAGATACTTATTAAAAAGACACATACAAATATTGCTCATTTTAAATATTTAAGTCATTTAAAAAATACATATCAGTGAATACAGCAAGGTAGGGTTTTTATTTAAAATGTTTCTTTTAGATGTAGCATGTATGATGTACGATTAAATACCTACATATTTACTTACTAAAATATATATATATATATATATATATATATATATATATATATATATATATATATATATATATATATATATATATATATATATATATATATATATATATATAAATAAATATAAACATCTATACGGATGGATTGATAGATTTTCTATTACTTATTTATATTGGTTGATTGATACATATACAGATAGATAGTTACATATGCAGATAGATTTTGAGTTCTGTCCCAGGCTCCATGGACTTCAGGGGCCCCATATAAAATTCGAGAACTTTTTTTTTGCTTTGAAATGTTGTTGTTCTATGATGAATGACAGTATCCTAATTAATCATTAACTTATTATTATAAGATATAATTATAGTTATAATTATTATAGTCATTATTATGTTATAACATTAATTATTTTATATATACATTTTATTATTATTGTTATTATTATTTTTTTGTTATTATTTTATAAGTTATTATTATCATCGTTTATTATTTTATAATTATTATTGTTATTAATGTTATAATTATTTATATTATTGTAAAATGTTGTTGTTGCTGTTATATATATATAAGTATATATATAAATGTAAATATATATATATATATCTATTATATATATATATATATATATATATATATATATATATATATATATATATATATATATATATATATATATATATATATATATATATATATATATATATATATATATATATATATATATATATATATATATATATATACTTATATATATATAACAGCATATATATATATATATATATATATATATATATATATATATATATATATATATATATATATATATATATATGTATATATATATATATATATATATATATATATATATATATATATATATATATATATATATATATATATATATATATATATGTATATATATATATATATATATATATATATATATATATATATATATATATATATATATATATATATATATATATATATATATATATATATAAGTATACATACATACATACATACATTGATTTATTGATTAAATGATTGATAGATATATAGATAGATTGTTAGATGGACAATAGACGATGTACGATGTAGCTGAATTTAATATTTTATTTATCTTGCAGAGGCCAAAAGTTTCTTTAATTTGGGATTAATCACCAAGATCAATCAAAACAGAGCTAGCTGCATCGAATGTGGTAAAGATTGCGAGGTGCCTAGTGGTAGCACAACAGGGATGAGAAGCCATTTTAAAACAAAACACAAGACCAGCTTTGAAACACTAGTAGCAAAAGGAGCCAGGGTAAAAGCAATATCAAAAGCTACAACTTTCGATGTCGATGCATGCTTTGACTCTGATAACAACTATATACTTGACTCCTCTTCTAGTACTGGGCTATCAAGAGCAGCCACTGTCAGAACCCCAGCCAGAAAAAGGTCAAGAAAAGAGCAAATATCTGGCGACGTAACACCAGCAAAGCGACAAAGAGTATTTACCAAAAGTCAAGGCGGAGATAGAAAGGTGTTTAACAACAGCACCGATTCATGATAATGGGAATATAATTCGTTACAGAAAGAACCAATTGTTTAAGTATCCCAAACTTGCCCGCTTTGCCAGAAGAAAATTGGCAATTCCAACAGCTTCCTCCAGCTCTGAACAAGTGTTTATCAACAGCTGTATATATCTGTGGTGACAGGAGAACAAATCTGTCAGCATCCAAAATTGAAAAACTTGATTATATAATAGAAAACTTAAGACAAATAAAGAAAATGAATGATTTCAACAACTTTATAGTTTGATTCAATTTTTTGAAAAAAAATTGATTTTTTTTTTTCTTGTAAATTTTCTTTGCCATTATTGTAGCACAATAGCAAATAACAATGACCAAATAAAATTTAAGTTTTGAATTTAGCTGTTTTATATTTTATTGATGCGTTGTTTAACAATCCAGTCTTCCGATGCATTGTTAAATGGTGATGGTTATTCGATGCATTGTTTAACAATGCATGTTTCGATGCATCGAACACGATGTATTAAACACGATGCATCGATGTATTTAACGATGTTAAGCAATACATTGCCGCTCCCTAATCAAAACATTCTGAAAGCAGAAAAAAGATAAGAAAAATATTAAAACTTTTTCAAATGTATAAAACATTTATTTATATATTAAATTTTATTTGATAAATAAATTAATAATATTAAACTTTAAAATATTGATGTATACTGTGTATAGATGACAATGATTCTCATTAGCTTATAAATGATTTTTGAGCAAAAGCAGACTCTATCTTACTGTAATTACATAGAGAAGTTACTAATATCGTCCAAGAGCAGACAAACCCTGCTTAGCTTTTTGTGCAAAATCAAACAATTCCAATTACGTGTTGAAAACTTCAAAAACTAAATTTTTATGAAAACGATAATGGTTCCTAGCTGCATTTTGCATTGTTTTAACTTTTAAATTGTTAAAAATAAGTTAACTAATAGTTTAGACCTGTTATAATGCAAGTTAGTTACGACGATATAGACAATTTAGAGTTTGTCGGAGAATGCAACGGCATTCTAGGATTCATAGTAGGTTCTAGAAAGCGGAAGATTATTTAAACATAAGAATTTGTTGCAAAAGAAAAAGGTAATTTTATTGGTATTATGTTGATTTTAATTCTAATTCTAAATGTGGCCTTTGAATATGATACAACAAATGCAACTCTACGCGTCAGTAGGTCTACGGTATCCACTCCTTCCACACTTGTTCTGTTCTGAGCATTTTTTTTCGTATTCTCTTACATTATTACTTTAATTTTTCCAACATATTCTTTCTCTCACTAACTCTACTTTTTTGCCTTGCGTCCTTTCTCGAATAACATCTCCCAACGATGTTTATTTGTCTTGTTTCAGATACAGAGTGGATTTGTCTAAAAAAGTATACTGAAGGGCTACACAACGTGCGTACATAAACAAGGTTCATCATACAAGTGTTATAAACTTAGAGCGCATCAGTTTTGCTATTTTAAGACAGCTGTCAAGGTTGATCAAGACTTTAAACTAATTAAGCATGTGCACACTTCAAAGGGAAGTCGACTATGTAATGCTTCTACAAGAAAGTTTTGTTGTCCAATAGCTTGCGGTTATTACATTAAAAAAATTCAACTGGTAAGAAGAGAAAAGTATGTCGAGCAGCTTTCTTTTATTTAGCAGCACCTATCATAAAGAACCGCCTAGTGGGAGTACTTAATTTTTGACATGGTAGTTGTGGTCTGTCAAATGAGGGTCTAGGTGGCGAAAAAATATCTCACAAATCTGTTGAAAAAAAAGAAAGTGTAAAAACATTTATTAGTAGTTGTGAAGCAGAGAAAGTCATTGCGGTAAAGGTAAAAGCGTAGACATATCAGCCGTCTGAATTAAAAAGTTGTAAAAACTTGTGGAAGATGTATTATAATTATACGGAGGAACACAAAGTCTTGTATCAGATGTTTTACTAAACTTTTATTTTCAAGTTTAACATTGGTTCTAATGGTCCGCAAGTAATATCATGTATGGCATGCAAAAAACATTTTTAATGTTTGATTATATACGAGTCGAAATTCCAGGTTGTAGCTGAACTTAAACTGCATAGAATATTTTAATTGCAGAAGCATGCTGTGTTTTACCGCTTACTAAAAAACTCTTATGAGCAAGATTGTACACAATCTGCAAATCATCAAATCAAACAAGATTGTATACAATCTGCAGCAGATAGAAGTTCTGCCTAAGGTGTCTGTTCATGAAACTTTCTAATGCAGATATCTAGCTTTATACATTTTTACAATCTGTAACATGTCATCTAGAAAAAATTACCGCTATAAATTGGATTGAGAATGAAGGAGCGCGTGGTTCAAATGAGATAACAAGTGCGGGGTGCCACTTACTTGGTAAGGTCTTTCTTAATTTTTTGCAGTTCTAGGAAAGCCAAATTAATGTCAAATTATTCAGCTGTTGCGGATGGTTGCGAAAGACAAAAAAAAAAAATTTTTAGGCATTGTTCAGCATTGGCTGCACAAAGTAATTGTTGGTGGCGGTAGCCAGATCGAAGATGTGTCGTTGATATTTCTTGTACGAGGACGTTTTACTGTGTGACCGCCTATTTGGAAGAATATCACAAGAATCTACAAGAATGTCAAATATCTTGACACCTGAAAAGCATTATGATATATTCAAGATGATGCTGCTAAAGTGTTTATTTATAGTAAGGGCTGGGTATAGTATAATTTCATAGCAGCTGCAGCAGCATACAAACCACTTGTTTAACTGCAAGAACTAAAGAGAATGCTCGTTCATTCGTGTGAGTCTAAAGGAAAGTTATCACTGTAATGGGAGAGAAAGATTATAATTTAAGTACGAACAATTATCAGCCACTGTGGAAAGCAAAAGCAAGGTTCCCAACCTTTGTCTATTGAAACACTTAAGGAGATTAAAAATCTCCTTAAAGTGACATGTCGTGAAAGCTTTAAAAGTGTTGCAGAATTAGCTTTCTATAAGATACCGATGGACAATTAATCTATTATTGATACAGATAATCCTGAAAATGACTGCAACTGCTGTACCGAAGATGACGTGACATGTATTTAACAAAAGTTAATTATAGTGGTGTGGACATCTGCAGTAAGCAATAATTATAGTCAAGGGTACACTGCAGTAAAATAAATATAAAGACAAAGATATCAAAAACAAAAAAATGCTGTCTATTAACAGTCATTATAAAAGTGCATTTTGTTCTATACTTGCATCGTTATTAATTATGCTGAGAAAATGCTGCAAAACCAGACAATTTCCTATTTTAGTTTTCTATTTTAAATACAGAATAATCAAAATTTTAAAATAACATTAGAAAGTTGCCAACATAAATCAAGGAACTAAAAATATATATGATATGTTAAAATTTTTTAATATGGATTAGTCTGCTATTGCGTGGGAACTCTTCATATAATTTTTTACCATGCGTGTTTGTTTTAATATTGATAATATTATTAATTAAAGTGTATTAACAAAGTATTATTAATGAAAGTGTATTAACAAAATATTATTAATTATATTGTTAACTACAGTGTGTACTGTAGTTAACAATATAATTATGATACATTTAAATAAAATGAATTTTAAAACTAAACTTAGCTGTATTATTTTTATAAATGTTAGTGTGTTTTAAACATAAAACCGCCCCCAAAATAGCAAAGGGTCGAAGAAGAACAAAAGTTTATTTAAGAATAAAATATTGTTTAATTAATGATCACTTCATATAAAAAAAAAAATACTGCAAAATAGTTTCCCTATAAATAAAAACAGCGCATATATACCAGTTCACGCATAAACCAATTTGTGCTACGCACTTATGCAAGTTTGTACTTATGTCACTTATTTGAAATTCACACTTCAGTGATCCTCTTTTTTATTAATACACGTTCCAACACAAATTAGTTAAAACACAGCGAGCAAAACCAAAAAATAAATAAAAAATAAAAAAAATTAAATACTTAGAGAAAGATTAAGTCAGTGAATGGCTATTTGACATAGATGAATAGTCACCGGTATCTAGTAGCACCGGTGATAATTTATCTCGACTTCGTAAGAAAAAATGTTCGGCTGAATAGTAAAGTTCGCAATGTTCGGTTGAATAGTAAAAAAAGTAGCCAAATGGTCGAATACCAAATAGTGACCAAAATTCGTGAACTCATTAGTTATTTAAATCTGAATTAACTACAACTGTTAGCTTATACTAGTTTTAAAATTGTTAATCAAATAATTTTCTAGATTATTTGTTAAAATAATTAATAATTTAGTAGATAAAAAGTTATTTATTTGAGTAACGCTGAATTATTTTACTGCATTTAAACAGTCTGTTTACTTTACTTCTACGTATAATATTTTAAGTAAAGCAGTTAAGTAGCCTAATACAATATAATCTTTTGCTTTAAAAACACCTGCGACAGCGGGTTTATCTAAGAAAACTGATTTTAATTTTTTTTTTTTTTAATTATAAACCTATTCTTTTGATATAACGCCAGTTCTTCATTATTACGAAAATTATTTAAAAAAAAAATTATCAGACCGCCATCCGGAAATATTCTAAGCATTTTAGAAACGTTTGGATTTTTCTCAAACGCGCCTACAGATATTAATAATTGATGACAGAAGTCATCAATTATTAATATGATCAGGATGTCAAGGATCAGGCTTTAAATCAATTTTTTCGTTTTTCTTAGTGTACAAAAATAAGCAACCCAATAACATTTTAATATTGCAAATGATGTTGCTTGTGTTTTTGCGTAATTAGAGATTTCAAAAAAAAAAATTTTTTGTTCCAAATTTTAAATTTTAAAAAAATTTAAAGCTTGCTTTTGTTTTAATCGCAAATTTTAAATTAATGTTTAAAAATCTTACAAAATTACTGCTAAATCATAAATTGATTTAAAGGTTACAAAGTTCAAATTGAAATTGCAAAATCATGTAAAAGTATTGCAAAATCATAAATTGATTGAAATGTTAGGAAATTGTTGACATATGTGTTGCAAAACATCTAATATCATAAAAAAATTCTTACGAAAGTAATTAAAGTTGATGCAACATAAAGTAAAAACTTCAATAAACATTTCTTTTGAAATTATTAAAAATTCTGTTTCAGAATCAATTACAATATTTTCACAAAGTGTTCGTATGTGTATCAGGGTGCAAAGCATACACACACTTAACAGGTTGTATTACATTTATTGCGCGTTAAAACTATGCTTTATTAACTTTAATATATATATATATATATATATATATATATATATATATATATATATATATATATACATATATATATATATATATACATATATATACATACATATATATATATATATATATATATATATATATATATATATATATATATATATATATATATATGTATATATATGTATATATGTATATTTTATATATATATATATATATATATATATATATATATATATATATATATATATATATATATATATATATATATATGTATATATATGTATATATGTATATTTTATATATATATATATATATATATATATATATATATATATATATATATATATATATATATATATATATATATATATATATATATATATATATTTATATATATATAAGCGCAAAGTAAATTTATTGCAACCTGTTATATTTGGATATCTAAAAGTGTTGCCCGTAGTCCTTTCCATAATTTAAAAATATGCCTATACTCTCATTAATAAACAAAAGGCGTTATTATATTACATTTATAACATAAATAATGTCTTTACCATTTGGACCTACCCCACTACGTCTGCATCGTGCGTATAAAATCTATTTATGTAGACAGTGTACCACATATGCATATATAGGAAAATTATTAGAGTTTATAATTTTACATAAAGTTATTATTAAATTTAATTAATTAAACTAAAAATTTGAATTTGTTATAAAAATAAAGATGTCTTTAAATTTGATTTTTTTTTTCCGAAAAGGGACTACAGTCGCAAAGAGGGAAGTTTTTTTCCAAAAACAAAATTAACCGTTAAATTATTCATAGCTGATAAGATTTGATTTGGCTATGACATCATTGTTTTTCACAATGTTTTGCACACAAATATAATAAAGAATCCTGATATTTAATCAGCTTTACAAAATTCCACCTTTACCAATTATAATAAAGTCAAAATGTTTGTTATGTGGCTTGCTAATTGACTTATCTTTATAAACAGCACTTGTGTGCATTAAAACCTCTCTCACAATTGAATAGGTTAGAATATCAAAACAGCCAAACAGTTTGATTATACAGCAACTCTAAATTTATATTTGCAAATAACGCAGTGCGCATTTGTTTGCACAATAGGGTAACAGTTATATCTAAACAGGTTTTTAGTCAGTTTTCATTTGAATGAATTTAGAGTAACGTGTATAGTAAAGCAAACGTTGATTAGTGTGTGCGACAGTTCTTACGTTGATTGGCGTGTGCGACAGATCTACATAACACAATATTGAGGTTTAAGAAATTGATTTTTTAATAAATTTTTTTAATTTCACTATTTTTTTAATTTCAGTGCTTTTTTTTTTTTCTAATAATGTTTATTTTGGCTTTATTTGCTTCTTTCTTTTTTTTTAGCATTTATTATTGTTGAAATTAGCACTACTGTTAGCGTGAAACTTCTGAGAGATTACTGTTAGTTTGAAACTCCTGAGAGGTTGCAATCATCAAATTAAGTTATTCACAGTTACTACTTTTTTATTTTGTTTCGTTTGTTCAGCAAATGAAGAAAATAAAAAATCATTGTGTCAGTCGAGTTGGTGGCAGTAAACCAAAAGTTGCAACTCCAGAAGTTGTTAACAAAATTGAAGCTTTAAAAAGAGAAAAACACGATATGTTTGCTTGGGAAATCAGAGAAAAATTAATTGACTCCAAATTGTGTCCACCATCGCTATGCCCAAGTATAAGTTCAATCAATCGTATTCTTCGTAAGAGAGCTGCTGAACGCGCAGCTGAACGTTTAGCAACAGACAATACTTTTCACAAAGGTAAACCGAATCTATCACATTCACAAGTTAATTACACAAAAGATTTTTTTGTTAAAAAAGAACTCAGCTCTTTATTTCCTGTAAATAATCATTTATATAAAAATTTATATTCAGATAAAACAACAAAAATTTATCCTCAAATTTACGAAAATTTAAAATACATGCACAATTGTTATTATCCTCATCAAAATAATTGTATAAACTGCATGAACTATAATTTTGTAAATGCTGGAATTTGTGCTCCTCCGCTTTTGCCAATATCAGAGCTTCGAGGTGAAATAAATAATGCACAATCTAAGATACGAGGTATAATTCATTTAAAATCATTTTTTTTGAAAGACCCTAAATATTACCTTTTTTTGTTATTTCAGTTTAGGTTTGAACTCTATTAGAAAGTTGTTTTGATGTCAGGCACATCCTAATTATTTTTTTTAAAAGCATTCAATTTCACGAACTTCTTTTTTTTTTTTCAATTTAACGGTCATCACAACTTTATAGGTGAAAAATTCCATCACATATATATCCAGGTTTTTTTTTAATGTATTATTACCAGAGGCGATTTTACGGGAGAAGGGAAGAGTGGGGTGGGAGTGTTTAGGGGGAAGGAGTACCTCTTCCTCAAACAAGACAATTTTTAATTTATAATAATAACAATTTTTAATTTATAATAATAATAACAATTAGAGACAATAGTAATGAAGTAATTCAGAAGCACTAAACAAGTAAACTACGAGTCTGAAAAAGAGTTCATAAAAAGTTCATATTTTAGTCTTTTTGAATGTTTCTATAGAAGTTGAGTTTCGCGTGTTCAAAGATAAACCATTCCAAATTCGAGGGGCAGTCATACAAAAAGATTTTGAGCCCAGGGAAGTTTTTTGTTGACGACGTGTAAGTTGGCAACTGTCTAATGATCTTATGTTTTGTTTTTGAAGTTTGGACTTCTAGGAATTTAAATAAATATGCAAGAGATTCATAATTATGGTATACAAAATAAAAATTTAAAATGGTTCAGTAGGGTATTTGACGCATTTGAGTCGGATGAGTTTTAGTTTTGACGATCTTTTTTGATTTTGTTTTTAGAAAGCAGTTTTTAATTTTTAAGATTCACCCCACTCCCTCCTCCTTATTTTATTACTAGAATCGCCTCTAATTATAGTTTTAAAAGTCAAACGATTTTTCCAGTTTTCAATTAATCTTTATCCCATAAATTTCATGTGTTACCTAAACTTTTTCAACTTTGATCAAGAGAAAATTGTATACATATATACTTTCAAATTATTCTTACTATATATATATATATATATATATATATATATATATATATATATATATATATATATATATATATATATATATATATATATATATATATATATATATATATATATATATATATACATATATTTATAAAATAAAATATATTTTTAATTAATTTAATATGCATATATATAAATATAAAATATATTTTTAAATAAAATAAGTTTTATTTAGATATTTTTCAGAGGGATCGCCAGATTTCAAAGGACGATTTACAAGAACGAATAAAACAAGTGTATAGTTGCGCATGTTTGGATTGCATTGAATTTAGATCAGAAAAAGCTCTTAAGTTAACGCCTTTCTACAAAAACGATTCTTTTTATAACATGTTTTCCGTACAAGAATTTCAAGCTAATACTAGTTTTCAATTGGGAATGAACGAACGAAAAAAAGCACGCGTTGCTTATACTGGAAGTTGTTTCAAACAACTGGAGGAAACGTATAAGTACTTTCATTATTCTAACCTTAATAAAAAAGATGATCAGCAAAAAAGAAATGAGACAAGAGTATATGCAAATACCTAATTCTATTCCCGTGTAAGAACACAGACTAAATACTAACTTAAATTAAATTAAAATTTAACAACTTTTTAAATGGAATTTTATTTTTTATCAGATGTGGTTTTTTAAAGAGACAATCAAAAGATACAAAGGAAATTCAAAAGATTCAAAGGGACATTAAGAAATAATTCGAAAATATATAAAATGAATTAAATGAATGAATGAATGATATTTTTACATTACTACTCTAGTTTTCTTCTACTTGAATGTGTCAGAAAAAAAAAAAAAAAGGATATGAAAAAAAAAAAAAAAAAGAATATGCCAAACAATATATTTAAAAACTCCTGAAACTGAGAAGCTGCTTCTAAAATTAAGTAAATGTAAGATGTTGGTTTTGCAACTAAGAACCTGCTCCTGAAAGTTAGAAACTGTTCCTGATACTAAAATGTGGCTATATTTATCATTAAAGTATAATTAACTTACTTGAACCTAAGTATTATTTCCAAAATTATGTCCGACTTGTTTTATTTTAACAAATATTTTTTTAATACCAAAAACACCTGAATTGCTATTATATCCAATATATTTTTCATTAACTGCTCTTTTATCTAATTACGTTTATACACTAAATAATGTACTTTCATGGTCTACAATAATTTTAATTTTTGGTTGTGATAGATAACTATATTGCAAAGAGATATAAATAGGGGATAAATAGATTTAAAAAAAAAACTCTTTATCTGATTTTTAATCTATTATTTTGAATAACTATTAGATGTCTAGGTAACTAATGTTTTAATCTATTATTTTGAATAACTATTAGATGTCTAGGTAACTAATGCTTTAATCTATTATTTTGAATAACTATTAGATGTCAAGGTAACTAATGTTTTAGCAATAACAAAAAACAAAGTGCATGAACCACTTGAAACTACATAAAAAGTTTATAAAAAAATAACATTGTGTAGAAATAAATGTTTGAGTAACCGCAAAACCTCATAAGAAAATGTTTTATGATTTGTTTTTAATGATTCACTAAGTGATGACGTAACAAATAAGGGGTCTGCAGACTCATTATTTATATACAAATATTTATCAAACCTGTATTTATTTTTCTTCGAGATGGTTTTTTAGAGCCTTTAATAATAACTAAATTTTTTCCAATAACTTTTAAATTTTTTACTTTTTGCATCAAGCTTGTTCAGACATAAGTCTACTCACCATGTGTATACAAAAGTCTACTTACCATGTGTATACATAAGTCTACTTACCATGTGTATACATAAGTCTACTCACCATGTGTATACATAAGCCTACTCACCATGTGTATACATAAGTCTACTCACCATGTGTATACATGTCTACTCACCATGTGCATACATAAGTCTACTCACCATGTACACAAGCCAACTTCATGTATATCTCTATAACTACAGTACCTACTCATATTATTAGACTCAAACTCGATTTTTAACTTTTCGTCTTTTTTGTATGTCCAAAACTCACTAAAAAAATCAAATTTTTTTTTTATATATAGTCTATATATTTATATATAAAAAACATATTATGAAACTTAATACTTCGTGATGATTCCATTTGACTCTAAAAGACATTTAATACGCCTTGGCATACTATTTACTTACATTGAGGTCAATACTTTAACATTTGGATCTCGATACCATACTATACATTCATACATAATATACATATACATCCAATCAGTCGTTTTGTGAGTTTCTGTTTAATTGTTAAATGTAAAGTCAGCACTTTGCATGTTACAAGTACGCGCAGATTTACAATAGGGTTCATATCTGGAGAATTGCCAAGCCAATCAAGTAGCTCAATACTCTCATTAGCAAAAAAGGTCTTTATGGATTTTGCAGAATGGTAAAGAGCACTATTTTGCATAAAAAATACTTTTTTTACCATTAGAAAACCACTCTTGTATCTGTTGAATCAAGCTAGTCTGTCAGACAGCCTTGTACTATCTTGTTTCATCATCCCATGTACAATGTAAAGGCTTTAACTGATACCCCTGCTCGATATGCATGACTAAACCATTATAAATCCTGGGTGCTTTACAGCGTTTACAGTGCATTTTGCCTTTGTTGTTCTCTTGGTCTGCAACAGACGAATCTGGCTTTTTCTTCTAAAGTCTCAAAGGTAGATTCATTGCTTTATACAACCTGACTAAAGCAATAAATATTGATGTTTTATAATATTTCAAACATTAATAAAATGAATTGGGATAAGACTTTAATGCAAAAACATCTAAAAACTTGTAATATTAAAATATTAATTGCTTATGTTTCAGGAGAAAACTAATGGAAAATTTACCTTATTCTAATCATCTTGAGAAAAAGAGGAGTACTTCTTAGCCCATGCAAAATGTTTTTTAATCATTGCAGGCGTAAATATAGGCTGTCTAAACTTGAATTCAGTGGCGTTCTACACTTTAATCTAAACTCATAACTTCTCCTTATTAAAGATTCAAGTGAAATTTTTATTCCTTGGTCTTTTAAAACAATTTTCAGTTTTATTGATGGTATCTTACAATTTTGTTCAACTATTTTTTTTATTTTTCTGTGATATCTAGTACTTGTACCTCTTTTTCTGCCACAAGACCCTGTTTTCTGCGCTTCTAATTTGACCCCAATTTTAAGTTTAAAACTTGTTTCTCTGACTGTAGCCTTGATAATTTTGACAACTTTGGCAATACTTCTTTGGATGTAACTTATTTCTTGCAAAAGGACAGCTACTTATGCATATTTACTAGAGGAAGCATCACTAGATTTACCCAATATTATTCTTAAAATATCTCCAACATTATTTAAGTTATTATATAACTGCACAATTAAAAGAAGCAACTTAAAAAACAACTGAAATTTTATTATTTAAATTATAACGACAGTCTACAATAATGTAGGTCCCTAAAGAAGACATACAAATTGAGTTATGACAGACAAAATTAACTGAAGGTTTTTAATTTTACATTATTAAAACTTACCATAACATTTTAAAAGTTGAAAATATTTTTCAAAAGTAAATATATTTTATACATTTTCCTAATTAAAAACAAAAAATGAATAACAAGAAGTTAAATTGCACGTAAACAACAAAAATTAAATATCATTAACACCTACCTATCAAAGAAAATAAAAAAAAATAACAAAATCTGGACATTTCTTTTTTGAGTCTAATCATTTGAGTAGGTACTGTATGTCATGTTCATGCATCAATACTTTGTGCACAAATTGTAATACCATAGGTAAAGTGAGACATACAGTTTAACAGTGTTGAAACAATAACCTTTAAACTTGAGGAAGTCTATTTCATATTCTAAAAATGGTGTTTCTAAGATATTGTAAAATATGAATTTAAGGTTTTGATTGATGCAGTTTCAATTGTGAGTTGATATTCTGCTGGAACGCGCCTTGAGGTATCACTATGATTGTTTTTTCTAGAACCACAACTTTTAGAAAAATAAAAAACAAGTCTTATTTTAATTATAAAGCTTCATTTTTCTGACCTTGCTTGCTACTTTTTTTGTTTCTTTTTTACATGCAGTATGCAAAATTATCTCAAAAGTTGAGTCCATACATGTAAACTGAAGAGACTATATTTGAGTGCTCAGTGAATATATTCTTTATTGGGAGTATCAAGACTCTTCATCTTGTTTCGGTGGAACACCACACGTTTAACAATATCGGAATGAGTTTGTTTTTCCAGATAATGCGACTTAAATCTTCCTATCAGCTATTGATAATTACATAATGCACTTCAATTATACTTGCACTTCACCTCACCAACCAATACAATCATGTTTAAATCTTTTAACTTTTAATGGTTTTTACTAGTTTTTTTACGTACAAAAAGAAGTCAAAGACATATTCTTTTGACTTCTTTTGAATGCAAACCTTAAGGTTTTGTAGTAGGTTATGGATGATGACTTTTGATTTTTCTCAATAAGCACTTTTACATCGCTTTTGGGAAATCCAATTAAATATAATGGGATGATGCAATTCACGGGAACAATTCTTTATATTTTAAATCTATGCTCACGTAAGGCTCTGATAAAACTTATTTATAAATGCTTCCGCCAGTAGCTCTGTCAAAGCCTTTCTTACACGTGAGAACTATTTTTAATTACTGCTTTGTTCTTAAGGTTGAAATATCTCCGTACAAGATATTGAACTGCACAGAATATTTGCAAAGTGTGAATCATTCAATTTTTTTTAGGTACTAAAACCGAATAATTCTTCACTGCTATACTTGCAAGATACCGTTTTAACTCTGCATTCCTAAAGTCATTGTAAGCTGTATAGATTTAATGTTCTTTCTCCAAGGCTCAACTTCTAATCAGTTGTTACGAATCTAATCAGTTGTTACGAAATGTTTGTCAAACGAGCATCTAATATTAAGGCAAGAGCTTAACCTGCTGAATATTTACTTGCTTAATCTGTATTTAAAATGTTTGAAACCTTTTTTTCAGAAATAACATTAGATTTATCTCTAAATTTCTTACTGCTGCAAAAGTAATTCATTAATGAATAAATGAAATTTAAGCAACCAAGACACTAGATAACAAGATAAACACATTTTTAATTTTATTAGAAGCATCATTAAATTTAACAGTTTTTGATATCTACTTGTAGTTGGTTTATCATCTATTTTTCCAACAATGAAATGTTTACCAAGCCAGATCACCGACTTTTTTTCAAAACTTTCGACAGCATAATTAACTGATTTTCTTTTTCTTTAATTCAAAATAAACAAATTATCAAACGTCAAACGAACTTCGCCATAAACATGTCAAAGTTCGTTTAACTTCGCTTTAAATTAAATTAAACGCCAAATAATAAATACTCGTTGTAATTCGTTTATACAAATATTCGGTCCTCATAAAACTTTGGTCAATAAATATATTTGCTGTTTGTTCTACACTTCGCAAAAAAAGTCTCACCGCTCGCTATAATTCATTTTAAAGTTCAAGAACGCGGTTTCAACTCTTTTTTAAGTAAAGATTGCTACTTAAGTAATTTTCTTGGGAAATTATTAGCGGTTTGTATTATTTTTTCCAGACTGTTAATGATTGGTACAGAAGTATTTCTGCTGCGTTATTATATCCACACGAACGAACGTGAGAACGCACGTGAAAGTCGTAGCACTAAACATAATAACCGTATATTACAAGAGAAAACAACAAACATTATAGATAATTTAATAAAGCGACATTTATTGTTTGTTTTTGGTTTGTTTGTTTTTATATTAATTTATTATTAATAAAAGTTTAGTGTTCCTTCTTTGATCACATTTTGGTATATCAATTTTGCTTATAATTATTATCAATAATATATCAATCACTTGCTTATAATTACTATCAATAATATATCAATCACTTGCTTATAATTATTATTGTACTATTTTATTCGCTTTTTATTTTTGCTTATGCGACACTATGATCGCAAAAAGTGACCAACGGAGCCGTCCAGTTACGTAGACCTGGGAGATGTGAAAGTAAAAACAGATTGAAGATGATGTCATTTAGGTAAAAAAACATAAATTAATGCAAAGACTATTTAGTTGGAAGAGTAAA